CATACGGGGATACGCTATACGCTACACCTCCCCTCTCAAATACAATCACGTCCTCGTGATTCGAAAACTACATGTAGGTGATAGCTGGACATCAACAACTGGCTGCTATTTTAGAAAAAAACTGGCGGCATGCATGGTCGCGTCGGAATAAACTCGACGATAGGATATAGGCAGAATGGATGTCTTACATAATATGATAAGGTATGGAGTCGTGAACATTATAGTAGATCGCGAATTACTGGGAGAGCGTCAACCGGAGTATGGCAAATAATATCGGAAATGATAACGTTTGGAATAGACAGAAGAATGAACTGATAAACAAATCATAAAGTAGAAGCACACCAGGTTCACACGATCTCACGGGGTCAAAAGGGGAAAGAACTGTCCTCCAAATAGGACCTGAAACCACAGCACACTTGCTGCACAACGCTGGCACAACCCGCCAGGAACATCGCAGTTCAAAAACCGAACTGAATACACAATACTTATAATTATCACTATTCACTATAAGGGGCATTGTCACACACATTGTCCCACGTTAGCTGGGTAGACCGTGGCTCACCATGATCGGACGTCTACCAAACTAAACTGGATTCACACACTCGCATAAAGGAAGACTGAAGAGAATAGGAAGACTGAAGGAAGACAGGAAAGAAAATGCCATACCTGGAATCAGCGTAAGTAACCACGGCGGCGGCTGGAGCTATGGCGGAGGGCGAGCCAGGTTTTATCTTCATCTTGATTGAGCCGGTCACTCAGAGAGGCTAGCTCGGCGTCAGGCAGATCGCTCCCTCCTCGTCTTGAATCGTGGTCTTCACATTGTCGATAGCATCGCTTTGCGCGACGTAAAGAGTGATGGTCTAGCCAGGAAGAGTGTTGACGAAAATCTGCATCCCACCACGGAGACGAAGTGCCAAGTGAATAGTGGACTCTGAACGTTGTAGTCACTCAGGGTTCGGCCGTCTGCCAACTGCGTGCCGGCGAAAATCAAACGCTGCCGGTCTTGGGGAAGACCCTCCTTGTCTTGGTCAGCAGCCTGCATGTCGTCGTTCTCATCAGCTTCGCCATCACCACCGGTAGTATACATGTAGGTAGCGGGTCGCTTGGAATCGCCATCGGAGTCTCCAGTGTGGGCCGTGCGGAGAGAAGGGTGATCCACGCTAGCGCCCTGACTGTGCTGCAGGCTAATAAGCAGAGCCAAGCTCAGGAAGGCAAGAAACATGATTCTCATCTTGATTCGTTGCACGGAGCTGTAGCGGGTTGAGCCATGGTGTCTGGGGAACGTGTAAATTAACAAAGTTCGGTATAGAATGAAACAAAATGAATTTACCGCTGCCACCAATTTGTAGCACGTAAAAAAGGTGGGGTCGAATCTGACAAAGTTGACTTTAACCACCGCTGCCACCAATTTGTAGCGGGCCGCAGTCTCTCTCGGAGGCAAATGCACACGGGTCTCAGTGAACACACTGTAACTGGCAATTGAAATGTACTGGCAACGAAATTAACTAACTGGCAACTAAATTAACTGATTGGCTACTAAATTAACTAACTGGCAATAAAAGAATCGTGAGCAGCAGCTTTTATGCAAAGGCAGACTCCGTACGCTAATGTACGGGGATACGCTAACGTATGGGGATACAGTACGGGGATATGCTAACGTACGGGAATACAGTAACGTACGGGGATATGCTAACATACGGGGATACGCTATACGCTACACTACAACATGTTCTTTCAGCTTGCAAAGCACAGGGTCACGTGTACGAATATAAACAGCTTCCAACACCTGCAACTGCTTTTAAAAGAAACATGCGCAACAAATAACACTAAACCAGGAATCGCCAAACAACTTACGACAATCCGGAATGGACACCAAATGCTTGTAGATGGCAGATTTCCTCTTGTCGATATCGAACTCCTCCTCGTCAGTATCACTCTGATCCCCCACTTCCGGATCCTGCTCACCCTTGCTGTCCTCCTGGCCATCCTGTTCATCCCCATCATCATCCTCCGTCTCCATCTCCTCGCGCCACCGCTTCTTTCTCCTTGACCCATTCACTGCTGCGCCCGTACCTTCACCTGCCTCTCCTGGTCCACTTTCTCAGTATTTCTCAGTCGTGCCTCCGCTAGTCTCTGGCTTCGCCTCAGATCCGTTTTGCTTTCGTTTTCGTTTCGTTCTCCTGGTGATCTTTCCGTTACCGCCGTCGGGTTTGTTAACGAACGCTCGTCCGGCGGTCTCCTATGCCGCAGTGTTGTCGTCAAGAGTGGCACCAGATTCATCTGCTGCGCTACTGTCGATTCCGGTGTTGTATCTGTTCCTGGTTGTGTTGTACGTGTAATAGGCGTAGCAGTAGGCAACGGGTGTTTTCGTGGCTTCCCACACTTTGGCCTGTTTGCCCTGGCACAGTGGCGGCTTGTAACAACAAGGATAATGAGACCGGAATTTTTCATTTTAATAAAAATAATGTTTTGGTTATGAGTGCACAATTAGTTTTATTCATGGCTATTTCACGACTGGTGTCTCCTCGTTCGTTATTTAAATATCGAGAAATCGCTAAGCTTTTCGCCGATTTTGGAGGATTCCTTTGAGAATCGCCAAAAATCTACCAAATGTTGTTGCAAAGTCCGTTTACGAACGAATGATGTTGCTGCAACCATGACTTGTGACTTGTGTCCTTTGACCTCCTCTCAAACAAAAATTCGCCATTAGGAAGATTGTAGTAAAATACTACACTACAACGTACAGCTGTGGCCAGTAAATCTGGCCCCTACAATTTGTAGTCGATCTCACCAATTTTGAAGCCAATATGCCAACAGTTCTTTTTGCAGATTTTCCAATACACTCCAATTTTGCAGCCGATTTTCGAACAATCAGCTGATCTTACAGCCGAATCTGGTGTATTTTTGAGCCGAGCGAAAAGCCGGATAGGCGAAAAAACGGGCAGATTTGGGGAAAGCCTGCTGATGATAGCCCTTTCCCAAAGGTGCTCTTTTAATTCGCACTTAGTGCTTTTCGCGTACCTCAAAATATGTTGAAAAAGTGCTCTTTTTTCAGTGAAGCTTAGCCATGATACATGTTCAGATATGAACTTAAGCTGAATAATGAATACGCACTCTTCCATTTTATGGGTTCACGAAAGGCGAAACAGGAAGTAAAGTTCAAAAAACCCACTTTTTACAGCATTGTGTAGGGTAAAAGCTTCACCAACTTGTTGCCGCCCAGAAAAGCGGCATGCCAAGGCCCATCAAGCACTCGGAAACTGTGATGCATGCATGAGCAAACAGATTTTAGCACTTTTTCAGCTAAAAAAGGGCGATATTCACCAAAAAACGCAATAAAGGGCGAAAGAAACGGGCTTTTCCAAAAGGGCCAAAAAGGGCGAAAAAAAGGGCGAGCACCTTTGGGAAAGGGCTACCCGCGGTGCAGGTAAGATGCCCTGCAGCCACGAAAACACGCCACAACCCACTTCAGCAGCAAGAACAATATTGAGCACCTCAACTGGGACACAACGAATATTGCACATCTACACGTACATTCCCAATGCTGTAGACAGACAGACACACACACACACACACACACACACACACACACACACACACACACACACACACACACACAGTGACACACACACAGTGACACACACACACACACACACACACACACATGTACACACACACACACACACACGCACGCACACACACACACACAAACACACACACACACGCACACACACACACACGCACACACACACACACGCACACACACACACACACACACACACACACACACACACACACACAATGTACATGTAGATGCTTGTTCACAATAATTCCCACAAAATTCCTCAGGCTCAGCGCCCGAGAGCATTACTGCCCACACTTGTAATGACATTGGGTGCAAAACCCGGCAAAGCCTGTGAAAGCTCTTCGCTCTGGTGAGATACCTGGTCTCGACTATGGCCGCACCAGTATGGGTGCAACACACAGTGGTCATCGGATTTTGCCTGCATCCGATATCGGTATGCCTCAGCTCAGACTCAGTTCTGTTCTTTTTACGTAGATCTACCGGCACGTAAACCTGGACAGCAACAATCCTACACACTACTGACAGGCTACTTCAGTACAGAAGCAACCATGCACTACTCGCAGGTGGCGTTGGTCCCTGTGTCGTTTGTCTGCTGGTGGTTTGAAAGCCATGCACCTGTTTTTTGTAGACCAGTGCAGTGTCAGTCTTGTCAAAATACTCTCTCTCTCTGGTATACCATACATGGGCATGGAAGAATGACAGGTGAGTAGCTTGCTAGTTGTACATGACACATCACTGACAGGTCTCCCGGAAAATGCCAAGACAGACACTGTCTGTACAGACCGTCGTAGTGCACTGAGTCTGTACCTGGCTGCGGCCAGGACGCAATGCGATCAACCATCGTCAGCAGCCTCAGGTAGATCTACTACTTAGTAAGTTAGTAGGTCAGGATCTAGCCTTCTAGGACAGTAGGAGTCAGGAGTCAGGAGTCTAACTCTAACGGTAGACATGATAATTTGTGTCGGCGGTAGATCTACCCGGGATGCTAAAGTAGATCTACATTGTAAGTCTCAGGCCGGTGGCCGTGGAGAGTGTATGTAGTCCTACCTACATCGATGACAATAGACAATACAGACAGTCATGTACATGTACGTGTAGATCTACACGGTTGTACAACTGTCACTGTCAGGCACCGGCATCAGGCAAAGGCACCACCTACCCGCCCAGATCAGATTCAGAGTGTCCTGGAGCTGACTCTGTTGTCATCGTCATGGGAGTGTCCACTGTAGGTCAGGCATCTCGTTCGATAGGAAGCATACCAGTCTGGTACTCGTCACGTGTGCATTGAAACATCGGACACAGGCTTCGTACTTTTGAACCTGGATTCTCAATTTTCCGCCTTTGACTTTGCTATGGAACGTTACTTCAGTTGTGCTACTTCTGAAACGAGCAAGCCGATGTTGTTTACTCGTGCATGTATCATGTGTATAATTTATAGTAACGACACCGCACAACATTTGCAACAGTTCCCGAAAGTAGACTGCAGAGTCCGTTGTTTGCGCGAGCTGATTGCTTCAGGAGGAGGTTTCCGCTTTGCGCCGATACAAAAGTAGCGCTTTGTGTGAGGTTTTGCAAGCACATCTACTGATCTAGCTATTCCCTTGACCTGAAATTATGTAGACGTACAGGCGGTGATCTATTGTACTACTACTGGGTCTGAGCCTGTGAAACCGATGAAATCTGCTTGTAAGGACAGGTCATTTGATTCCTCCGAAAAGGGACGATGCCGTAATTGATGGTATCCGGTAAATTCAGCCTGGACTCTACGCGGTGAACGTAGCAGCAGCAGCACGCTGCCAATATGGCAGAAGCTGAGCCAGGCCGCTCGAGCGTCCTGCTGTCCGATCTACTCGAGGACAATTCCGACGCTCTGTCCTCCGCGCTAGCGGCAAATCCTGGTGAAATCCTCGAGACGCTGCAGCTGGCCAGGGTACTTGAGGAAGCGGAGTGCCGACGGCTTCATGGCGCTGCAGAGCTCGAAATGGTAAGGTCAGAACTCAGCGTTCGATTCATTTCCATTATTGGTAGACCTACAAAGATGTACGTGATGGTTCTACTGAGAATACCGACAATACTTGTTTTATTCAACGCGCCATGAATAACTGGATGGCAGTCGTGAGTCAGTCAAGTGTCAAGTCGTCGCTGGAATAGCGCGAGCTCCAGTGTGGGAGCAAACCCAATAGCAAGAAGGTACAAGAGAAGAGCTAGAGAGAAAAGTGAAACCGAGGAGGAGTCCAGGTGGAAAACGAAAAGTAAAGATGAGAACATTGAAAGGATCGGTCACGCAATACGGATAACCCTTTACCAGTCGTACATAGTGCGAATGCGTCGAATTCGACGCATTCGTTTTTCGCTCTGTAAACCATGGTCTTTTGCCGCACCGCGGTCGGAATAATCGCAAACTACTGCTGAAAACCTACGGAATTACCTACCATCGAGAAAACCGTGTGCTGCACATCATTTTTTTCGAGAAAATCGCGGTTGAATGCACCTGGGTGAAGTTGAAATTTCAAGCGTGACGCACTTCATGCCGAGCACTGTACAAACAGCTATAACTTCGGTCTGGCTACTTCAAATTCAACAAATGACCGCTCATTGGAAAGCTATTGAACGCAGCTTTCCAACGATGTTTCATTCGATATAGCGCGAGGTAAAAGACTCAAGCGGCGAAGCTCGAAGTCCAGGAAACAGGTGAAGTTGAAATTTCAAGCGTTTGACTCTGGCACATTTCATGCTAAACGAGCATAGAGCAGTGTACAAACAGCTGTTACTAATTACTTCGGTCTGCCTACTTCAAATTCAACATATGACGGCTCATTGGAAAGCTATTGAACGCAGCTTTCCAACGATGTTCAAATTTTGATATAGCGCGAAGTAAAATACTCAAGCGCCGAAGCTCGAAGTCCAGGAAACGGGTGAAGTAACTAGTTGAAATTTCAATCGTGTGACTGTGACGCACTTCATGCTAAATGAGCATAGAGCACTGTACAAACAACTATAACGTCGGTCTGCCTACTTCAAATTCAACATATGACGGCTCATTGGAAAGCTATTGAATGCAGCTTTCCAACGATGTATCATTCGATATAGCGCGAAGTAAAATACTCAAGCGCCAAAGCTCGAAGTCCAGCAAACGGGTGTAGTAGAAATTTCAAGCGTGTGGCTGTGACGCACTTCATGCTGAAGTATACTGTATGTGTTTGCGCCCCGGTGCACAGCCCATGCGCGCATATGCGTGACATGCACCAAAAAATGAGCGCTAGAGCAGCCTGGTTCTGCTGGTGTTTGAATCTTGATAGATGAACTGGTGGATGAGCTGAAGCTGAACAGTGTACATTATTAATTTTATTGTCATGGTCCTCGAAATTGCTAATTCGGCCGCATTGCTCGAGTTATTGTTCGCCATGAATGGCAACGTTTCTACATGTTATCAGCTTGGTTTTAGTCTCATATGAAAGGTAATTCTACAAGCTTTCCAGAACTATAAAGGTGTCAATACAAATTATTTACCGTTTAGTCTCTATTATCAATCTAGTGGACCCCGTTTTTTATACATATAAATCCTGCGGCTGGTAAAGGGTTAATTCCCATCGTGGATAGGATAATTATTCAATTGACATCCCTACGCAAGAAGTAGGTCGTTATCATGAATACTGAAAAAATAATATTTTACCAAGCATGCCTGCGAAAGATGCAGAACACACTATTATTGATGCAGCCAGCCCGCAAATCGATTGTTTCTTGTGATTGTTTGGTTGACGGCATGTTACAAGGAACATGCTGTCAACCAAACAACAATTTATTTTCAACCAATCAAGGCTCATCTCATGTATTTCAAGTATATAATTAGCAGTCCTTGAGTCGTATACCCACTTGCCGGTAAAGGAGAAAACACATAAGAAGACACCGGGATTGTAATTACAATCATTAAATCTTAGTTTGTATCCACCCATTCTCCTCGGGCAAACACAATGAAGTACAGGGTAGTTATTTCTGCAAGTGAAAGCATATCCACTATGCATGCGGGCATAGTGGGATAGTCTGGATGGTCTAAGACCTTCTCGATTGAGAAACATAGGTTACCCGACGGTTCAGGTCCTGCTTGGAAGGTGAAGGAATTTGTCCAGCCGTGCTGCGACCCACAGATATTCGGGAACTCGTAGCCTGGCACTAGAGAAACATGAATGCTGTGAATGGGATTTTTCGGTCTTCTTGACCACTTTGCTGGTGGGCTGATATACTTACCTCCCACAGCTTTAGCAGCTGCATCTGCGCCTTTGATCTTTGCAGGGTGGCGGCGTTCCTACGGATTATGAAAACTCGGTCTAACCTCAAGTAGTCACGAGCGACCCGTGAAGCATATCCACTATTGCCACATGCTGAGATACGCTTTACCCCGAAAAGATTGTCTTGGGTTGAAAGGGGCATGTCAGCTGAGACTGCACCGAGTTGAGCAACACATAAAGGACGCTTGCACTGCATGCGCTATACACAGTGTAACATCAATGACGTGCTGGCCGTTATGGGTCAGTACACAGTTTTTTTATACCAGCGCGTGTGGCCGCTTGGTTTGTGGGCTTGCCTGCAAATCATGAGGTCCCGAGTTCAAGACCTGGGCTGCTGGCAACACATGAAGTCCTGAGTTCAAAACCTGGGCTGCTGGCAACACGTGAGGTCCGGAGTTCAAGACCTGGGCTGGCAACACATGAGGTCCTGAGTTCAAGACCTGGGCTGGCAACACATGAGGTCTGGAGTTCAAGATCTGGGCTGCTGGCAACAGAAACTAGGTTTAGTGCCATCTCAATCGTGCTAATGTGGCCCAGCGCCAATTTACATGGAATGAGTTGTGTCCACACCCACGGAGAACAGAACTAGGTACTCTCATGATCGGAGCGAGAGTAACAAGGATGCGGCCTATGGGGTTACAGGGCGATTACACGACCGTTGTGTTGAGAGACTCCTCTCCTCTCCCCTGACTTACGTGTAAGGTCTACATTTGACACGAGGATATATGGGAGAAGTGGTGGTCCGCCGATGCAAATTTTGAGTGACTATTGTCGGCTTCGAGGGCTTCATCGTCACTACATCCTGCCCCTTTTCTGCCAAGTATTCTCCTATAAAACCAGCAACTAAGTGACTATATTCAGGAAGCTGAGCAAAAAGACGTTACTTTAATAGCGTCTGGCGCCATCCATGCATGATTGGAGTCGTTTCCTTCAAAGCAGGTTGACACATCTTCCGGCACTGTACGCCCTAGGCCCTCCCGGCTGGGAACCACTCAGTAGAATATACTGGACTATGCAATCTGATCTGACCCTGCGGGAATTTGCGGAAAAAACTCTCGAAAACTTGCGCAAGAAATTGCGGCAGAAAGTGACAGAAAATGCGACGAAAAGCGCGGAATGATGCAGAACTTGCCAGGAATTCACGGAATTATTTGCAGAAAATTGCGGATTTGGGCCAAATAACGAAATTTGTTGCATCGTATATCTACTCGGGAGTCGTACTGTGCAAATACCCTACAGGATCATGGAAAGAACTGCGTGAAAAGTGCATAAAATGTGAGATATAGTGCAGAAAACAACAAAAAATGCGGGAAATGGCGGATTTTGCTGAAAATTGCGGGTTAGGGTCAAAATCGCGAAATTTGTTGCATCCGTGGAATCGCGATTTCCTGGAGGGATAGTCTGATGATTACCCGGCACACAAGACTTTTTAAAGGTTGCAGTACTGGTCAGGCGCGTAGCCGGCAGTGTTTCCAGGTTGCTTGGAAACCCCCCCCCCCGGGGTTGCAGCGCAGGCGACGATACCTTTGAAACCTACACAACTAGTAAAACTCTCCTGAGACTGGGTGCATGAGTATGCAGTTACAGGACGTACAAAGTGACAGTGCGGTGCATGCTAGCTGCACGCATGCACTTTGAGTGAGGTGTGAAACTACAACGTATTACTTCGCGAGTGCTTCGTGCGCACTAACTCAGTAGCTGGGCAGCTACGATCATTGTAAAAGTTCTCTTTCGTGTTGCGTTTAAAAAAATGTCTTAGATGTGAATGAACCAAGACACATTGACAAAACTGTAGTAACTTGTAATTTGAAGTCCCAGATTTGGCCTCTCTGGAGCTTGGAATTTGAAGATACCCTAAAGCTTTTCGCGGGGACTCTGCCCCCTTGACCCGCCGGGGAACAACCCCACCCCACCCCCATCTGGAAACCCCCTCCCTAGCCCTTCCGGCCACGCGCCTGCTCGTCCAAACAGCTTCTCGTCTAGAGTGTTTGAGGAATTGCTCAAAGGGTGGATAAAGTAGAGGCGATCAGAGAAAACTCAAAGTTTCCAGATCACCGCGCACTTCTCATGTACATACGAGATTTGTAGCGCAAGGGGAGTCTTGGCCCGCCTGCTACACAGCTGTCCCCTCCAGTCCCTAGCCTCATAATTGAAGAGTTGCTGCTTCATAGAAGCCTCCATCATGCGGTGTGTGGATAGCTGAACTATGTGAAATGTGTCTTTTTACTCTGTCCTCCAAACAGTTTGCTCTTCTCCTGGATGTCATTCCACGGAGTGATTCTGAAAGATGGAGGGCAGCACTCTCGGTTATCAGGGACCAGAGTCGAGCCACTGGAGTTGTCCAGTTTACTGAAAGTTTGGAGAACTTCCTAATAGGTGATGCAGACAATTGCAATGGTAAGTTTAATCAGTCAGAGCATCTCTTTCTCACTCCACTTACACTGGAATCCAAGTGATTCTGGCATACAGAGATAATGCAACAATGACAACAGGACACAGATTGAGGGGTAGTTGGCCGCAGCCAGATGCGAACCAGAAATCGAGACAAGTCTAGAAACAAGGACTGAGAACATAATGAACCATGATCTGTCAGGATCAGCTAGACCCCATAGCAGCTAATGACTCAGCCAGTCAGATTAGAAGACTTGCACACCTAAAATATTTGGCGATAAGGCGAGACCAAAAAAAAGGAGATTCCCAGGCCCTCCCGCACCAAAGTCGAGCCGTAGCCAACTTTTTTTTTAACAGTTCATACATGTACAGTACTGATCGTGTGAGTAGATCTGTGACGTGGAGTCACACAAACCCGAGCTTGTACGACTCCCTGATGTACAGATCAGGGCCATCGTTGGCCGAAATATAGAAAAATTGAACGGGTAAACCGCGTACCTGGTGTCTGTAACAAAAATTGAATAAAAATTACCGGAAAATTGTGTAAAAGAAGTTCAACATGGCATGCACACATATAGTCATGTACATATATGGGAAAAATATATAAAATAAAATTCGCCCGCCCACACCAATTTCACACGGGTCCTGCCCGGGAATCTCGATTTTATTTTGGTCTCGCCTAAGGAGCATGTTCGAATAAGACAGCAAGCAGATGCGCATCTGAAACATACATACCGGTGTTCACAGCATTTTTCAGCATTTTTGCAATGTTTCTCATTATATTGATCTTTCTGAATGTGTATGTTGGACTCAGCAGACAGTTCAGCCCCTATATGAGGCTCGCCCCTGTACAGAGTTCATTGCTCCAAATCCACTATACACAGTTCAAACTTCAAGACGTTTCACCCGTGGTGAACTGCGCTGACATCCACGGTCAGCTGGGCACTCACGACTCGGAGTGAGGATTAAAAGAATGCAGTCTAGGCCGCACCGCAAAAGTATTTTGTTTCGGCAGTAATAGGCAGAAAAATTCCGGTTGGCCAGCTTTCTTTTTTTTGCTGATATTTTGTATGCATGCTAGATCTAATTACCGGAACGCGGTACGGTATACACATGTGTACAATACACAGCGACGGAGCACGGGTAGCACAAGCTAGAAAGAATGGAAAATGCATTAGCTGGAGGACGAAAGAACGCGAAGAAGAAATAGGTTTGAGAATAAAGTAGAAAAAATGGAAATGTAGTCTGTGCCTCTAGCAGAGGGTTAGTGCATCTCGCCCTTCCAGCTAGGGATGAGAGCAGTGCTGTCAGATTAGCATAATATAATTGTGAACGGCTTTTCTCGATACATAGCGGGATGGTTTACTACCATGATTGAGAAACATAGGTTACAGGTTCAAGTCCTGCTGGGAAGCGGATCGATTTTTCTATATGCGACCCGCAGTTAAAGGGGAAGTTAAGGCAAAAATTAAAATTTCACCAGTTGTAGTCTTCGGGGTGCTGAGTCGAATGGTCTTGGTCCGAGGAAGCTGAGACGCTCCCTTCCTACTTGAATCCCAATCGAACTCGCGCACTTCCACCGAAACTGGGTGACTGCGCCCTACTAGATGGGGATTTGTATGCAAAATGTCACTAAAAGCGCCATTTCGTTCTTATAAAAGCACGGATGACCGCGATTGGCCCATATGTTGTAGTCTTTTGGACGCTGAGTCGACTGGTTTTGGTCCGAAAAGGCTGCGATGCAGCGTTCGCCCCTAATTCCCAATCGAACATGGTTGAACAAGCGGTCACGTGCTCCTGCGTACACCAGTCACCTGGTCACCGTGCCTGCAGGGTACAACTTCCAGCCTGTTTTGACCTTTTTTGGGTGCAGTCCTGTCACTCGAGTTGAACCTTGGTGTGAAAGTTGTCGCCTGCTGGCGTGGTGACCAGGTGATTTGGGCACCCAGGAGCACGTGACCGTTTCTTCAACCATGTTCGATTGGGAATAAAGGAGGAACGCTGCATCGCAGCCTTTTCGGACCAAAACCAGTCGACTCAGCGTCCAAAGGACTACAACATATGGGCCAATCGCGGTCATCCGTGCTTTTATAAGAACGAAATGGCGCTTTTAGTGACATTTTGCATACAAATCCCCATCTCGTAGGGCGCAGTCACCCAGTTTCGGTGGAAGTGCGCGAGTTCGATTGGGATTCAAGTAGGAAGGGAGCGTCTCAGCTTTCTCGGACCAAGACCATTCGACTCAGCACCCCGAAGACTACAACTGGTGAAATTTTAATTTTTGCCTTAACCCTTTACCGGTCTACCATAAGCGTACCGATACTATAGTATCGGTACGTTTGGCCCTCATTTTTTTGGGGTCTTGTTGCTAGGAGACAGCTAAAATGGCGCTCTACGCGTAGCTGAGGTCCAAGGCTTTCTGACGATGTGCAAAACAACCATGCTTACCATACAAATTTTTGCCGTATCGATCGACTGAAGTTTGTTGAAATTGGAAAAGACGACCATCCGCCATGCGCGCATTTCAAGAATGCGAGTGCATCTCTTGGGGCCGTGTTTGACAAGCGCTCTGAGAGCAGTAACATCACTAGTCCAGGCTGGATGTCCCGGGAGGTTTTGCAGTGTAGTGTGTTGAGAAAAAGAGCTCCGTTGAGTCCTGCTAGTTCAAAAATATATCGTCCACGAATGAAGAAACAAAATTCTCCAAACAGAGAGGAAGCCTTCTTGCTGCCGACACGGCGACAGCGACTGTCACAAGGACTCGTCAGGTGCGATCAGCTGATTCGCCTGGCTGTGAGAATCACGGCATGCGTAAGCTCGCGCCTGAGTACTCATCTGAGCGAGAGTGAATCTGACGCGAGCAGCGCTGAGATGAACAAAACGAAACTGCGATATCGTGCAATGGGAATTGCTGCTGCTGGCGTATCGCCGATGGCGAGGTGTTGGTGTTCAATGGCGGTATTGTAGAGAGCCTACATTTCTTGTAAAGACGTAGCCCTTACCTGATTGTTTATCGTACGACTTCAGCTCCATCACGAACTTGGTATGCCCTTCGTGCTGTGATATTCGTGTATTTCATTCGCAATTGTATTTTCTCTCAACTTGAAGGGCTACCATGGGCCCTATCCTTGCCTGGACCTAGTCATATTTGAATTTTCTGGACGCGTTCAGGCACACAGATTTTGAAAATATATGGTTTACCCATACCTACATCACATGGTTCTTGAGTTATTGCTGGTTGTGTGTACATGTGTTTGCGTGACCACCCCTCACATACATTGAGTTAGACCGGCAAAGGGTTAACTTCCCCTTTAAAGCGGGATTCACAGAAGCTTTTTTTGGCGATGCAATGGGCGATGCGATCTGCGACGGAGGCATGTGATGTAAAATCACGAATTACCACTCACGGAAGAAGTCAGCGATGCGACGACGCCTTGCTGATTTGGCGCGAAGTTCAATGTAGGTGGATACGTCACCATGGTGTTCTTGTGGCTTGGTACAACTTGTACAAATTTACAAGCAACTCTTGAACCTTTGTACAACTTTGCTGCAGAAAGGTCAAAATTGTACGCCATATCTCCTGTTGCATCGCAAAAGTTGAGTTAAGCTCAACTTCTGCGATGGCCCAGTTGCGGCAGGTGCGTGAGCTGCGAGATGTAAGCGATTTGGGAATCTCCCAGTTTCGTGGCCGTCTCATCGCGCATCGCATCGCAAAAATGCTTCTCTGAATCCCGCTTAACCCTTTAAGAGCCGCCCCATACTTGAATGCGTCGTAAACGACGCATTCAAATGCAAAACTTCAAAAGATCGTAACTCAGTCCAATCTCGCTCAAATCCATCGATCGAAATATCCAGGGCGAAGAGAAAACTCTCACCTGTCGGGAGAAACAATCCGCGAAGCGCTGCGAGCAACGGTTCCCGAGATAAATCACTCGTAAGTTGAGCCGCGATCGCGGCAATTTCAAAAGCGCGCAGTGCAACTTTAGTATTGAGATTTTTGAGACTTTTCGTCACGCTGGTTTACTCGAATTTGCACGGGTTTCACTGTTGATATTGTCAAGAGTACACAGCAAAAAAATTGGAACTCCACGATCGAGCAGAATGAAATATCTGGAGCGGGACGCAATTGGACGCATTTGGGGTATTTTTCGTACTGTCGCTGTGATCTAGCGCTGGATAGACGGTGTGCTGGCTATCATGATCAACCTCATTCTCTTCCTCTCGCGGAGACCGTTCCAGGAAGCCCTAGATTGTGAGGATTGAGTGAGTAGAACTGAAGCTATGATCCGAGGAACACGAAAAAATGCAGATTTTTGAAAATTTCCTGTGGCTCTTAAAGGGTTAATTGTGAACTCGTGGATTGGCACAAGGGTAATATGGATGCAGCGAATGGTATTTTCCGTCTTGACCACTCTGACGCTGAGTGTGATCTACTCACCTCCCACCGAGGGAGAAGCTGCATCTGCGCCTTGATCCTTGAAGGTGGTGGCGTTCCTTTTTTGATATTGATATTGATATTATATTTTCAAGGATTCTCCAGAGGCAAATGGATGCCTATCAAAGGGAGTCTCCTGGGGAAAGGAAGTGAAGGTGGCTGTTATGAGAGAGGGAGGAAGGGACATGACAAGGTGAACAAATAAAATAATACAAACAGGAACAGCAGAAGCTACTTGCAAACATTTGGTATACCTTGCACAGAATACTTGTGGTGCAGATAGTGTCTACCTTTGGATATGGAAAACTTGGTCTGACCGAGCCTCACACAAAATGTGAATTTTTTTAATATAAGATTTTTGAAGGATGAGTCGGGAAGTGAACTGCCTGAAAAAAATGCCAACCCCACCCGTACTTGAACCCGGGACCTTGCTTGTCTTGAGCAATGTTCTAACCATTTGAGCTATGGGACCAGGCCATACCAAGAAGGCGCTGACAAGACATAGTGTTTCACTCCAAAGGCAGCTCACAACACGTTTGCTTTGTGATTTTTACTTTGTGCTTTGTGTAGTTACCTCGCCCGGAACATTTTCTGCCAGCAATGTTGCCGTTGAACAAGGCAGTCACAACAGATCAGTTGAGGACATTCCAGAATCGTTCAATTCGGGCTGGGAGTCAGAATTTGACTCTGACCTGGATCAAACAGACAGACCGCTGCCGCACAGCGATGCCCGTTACTCTTGGATCTCGCTCGACAAAACACTTCACTATATGCGAAAGGAGATACCTCTTCCTGGATCCACTCGGGTGCTGGATTGTAACTGTGTCACTGTTGACGATTATAAAGGTAACTTCTGATTTCTTGTCACCAGCTTTGTACTATTCAATGGGCGCTTTCGATTACACAGTCTGAACGCAGGTTTTGTAATTGTCGAATGAGCAGATTACGGCCATGTAAACGAATGACTACAGGTAAAAATCATAAATGGTGATCCCGCACACCCTCGCACGTACGTGGACCTAGCATGGCGTGTACATCGAGTGCGTACATTCTCGCGGGAGAATTAGAAATTCCGCTCTCTCTTCAGAATCGACGGAATTGGATTCCGTCGATTCTGGTGACGGAATTTGTGTAATCGAGCGGTGCATGCACCGTAATGAATTCTAGAATGGACGGAATTGTGTGTGGTCAAACGAGCCCAATGAGGTGGGTTGAAGCAATGCATCTGCTGTACCTTAGTGTAATGAGACCTCAAGAATACGTAAGCGTTGCGTTCTACACACCACCCCTGGCACTGCGAATAACGTGTTGTCCTCTGGGGTAGACTGCAGAACATTTATGAACTTAGTAGACCCAGGTGCTCGAAGTCCGTACACTTTTACAGTGTGTGTTTGCCGAGCTGAAACTCACACTAGCAATGATCACTTGCCAGAATCCTGCTCGTGGATGGAAGGTATCTTGTCCAAGTTTGTTCTGAGGCCAGGCTCGATTGAACCAGGCCATCTTTCGATCCGATCTGTTTCTCTGGAGTTCGCTGATTTTTCATATCAAATTTTTGTGTCGCAGAGGGTACTCTAAGTCCGTACTGATCAGAGGTGACTCGAAATACACACATATTTCTGCTAATTGCTAACTTGCAATCCCTCGGTTACGACGAAAGCACCGAAGGGATATGTTTGGGATGTGCCTCCACCAGTATTTCTTGCAAAAGCGTAGTTTGTTGCCGAAATGCAAGCTGTTTTTAGTCGGCTCAGAGAAGATTTTTGCATGAAATGTAACCCAATTTATATTTCGTATGGACACTCGAAAACCCACTGGCGTGGTATGGGACTTCTGCTTATCCTAGATCCCTGAAAATTGCGACGAGGAGAACATACCACACTGTCCCCTCCATAAAATATTTGAGTCGAATACAATAACAGAACATGAAATTATGGGCGTACGCACTTAGGATACCATGTACGGACTTCGAGCACCTGGGTCTACTGTGAGTCAACAAATATTCGGCGCATATCTAATTTCGCGGCTATTTTCGGTCTGGTCATGTTTGGCCGAAAATTTGTTGTGGCCAAAATTTTGTTTTGCAATGTTTAGTGTGACAGTGTATACAGGCGGCAGCAGTACAGGCCGAAAATTTAATGCGGTCGAAATGGGTTTTAGCCCTGGGAGGCCGAAATTTGAATGGGCCGAAAATGTGTAGACTTTCAGGATGTTACTTGGCCTGATAGCAGATGGTGGGATGGTCTAAGACCTTCTTGATTGAGAAACAGAGTGTACCAGGTCCAGGTCCTGCTTGGAAGCGGAAAGAATGTTTCCAGCCGTGCTGCAACCCACAGATAATTGGGAACTATTGCAGCACGGATGCAGCGAAAAGGATTTTCGGTCTTTTTAAAACTACTTTGTGGTGGGTCTGATCTACTCACCTGTCACCGCTTTAGAAGCGGCATCTGCGCCTTGATCCTGGAGGATGGTGGCGTTCCTACGCATACTTTATTCAAAACTCGGCCTTAAGCCGAGACTCACTTGAACCGTGAATCTCTTTGGGCCAGATATCGGCAAGAACAACAGTAAGAGTTGGGGTGATTCTCTGGATTGTGTGGGCCAATACTGGGCAACAGTTTGAAATTAGACTGTAGGAAGATCTTGACGTAGCCTGCGTCTTACATTTGGGTGGAAAGTTTGCTGATTGTTTTCAAACTAAAGAAATGCTTAAATGAATCCTTTTTCTTCTTCTATCTGTTTGTGCTTTGTGGCCAACCAATGGTACAGAGCTGTATGGACAGCTAGGAACTAGTGTCCAGCTCACCGCCACTCTGCAGGGACCGAGTGCCAGCAGGCCACGTGCTCTGGCAGGTACTGTGGGGGACATCGTTGAAGTGTTTGACCGGCCGTCCGACACAACGTACCTGGTAAAGCATACCGTGACTGGGCACGTCGGCTTGGTTGATGTAGACCATGTGTCAACAACTGGCAAGATCACATTCCCCGAAGGTAACTCTTGCTACGTCCTAGAACACTGAGACATAACATGTGATACATGTTATATCTCAGTGTTCTCAGTGTTCCGCCGAAGTTTTGCGCATACAGTATGCACCAAACTTCGGCATCAATTGGAGCCTTGATGGAAGAAAGTGTGATGTAATCATCGTTGTAGATAGAGTGGTATCAGAACATGCATGCGGTGCTACCAATGCTGTAGGCAGCGAGCTGTTTCGGCAAACGGCTTCATCAGTACAGCTACAAGCTTTAGGTAAGCTGAACAAAGGAGGAACCACAGACATTAAAGGGGACCTGTCACCAACATTTTTCTTTGTCTTTTCTTGTAGTCTTTTGGCTCCTGATCGTGATGGTGTACTTCATTTTTCTCTGCGATGACTGGAAGTGGGTGAAAACGTGAAGAGAAGATCCCCAAAATTGTCCCGAAGTACCGAGTGACGTCACGCCGGACTGGTCCTCCACGCGTACATTTGTCATCAAAAACGAAGTCCAGCGGTAGCACGTGCGCTGGTTGATCGAGCTAGCTGTTCCGATGTACGGTGCACGTGTGCCTTCTGAACTCTAGCACAGATGGGTATGTCGTACAGAAGGAGAATGCCAAAGAGGGAGAGACCCACGTGCAGCTACACAGCCAAATCAAACTATAAAAAGCAGGTGAGCTTTCACCTTTTTGACTTCTTCTGCGAGGATAGATACAATTGGGTGAACTCACCCATTCCACAATACTCCACAAATTTCCGAACCATTCCATTATATACGTTACGGCCAATGGCCTACCATCTGCACGTGCATTACCTAGCAACAAATGCCTACCTGCTGTGGTGTAATTTCACAACTTGCCTCTTGCTGACTTTTCGACACACTGCTTCATCACACTTGACATACTTTGACTTTTCTGCGGCTCGGCACCCCGCCATCGGGGCCAGTCGTCACTCTACACCTGTTTCCTATCATGGTCTCCCTGCTTCACACCTGACTCATACTCACAGTCATAGCTTGCTACTGCCCAGCGCCCTGCCATTGGTGCAGGTGGAAAATCTACGCCTAGCGCCTGATCTGTATTATCCAGCCTCCCTGCCTTGCGCTTGACTCGTACTGTGCTACGGTCCGACGCAACATCATCATTGACATCAATGCAGGCCAGCTTTACACCTGGCTTTTTTAGGGTTGTTTTCCCTCCTCCCCATTAGCAGAATAGATCGCGCGATTCGGGCGGAACAGGCACATATTTAAACCGCCCGTTTGCAGCCTTAGGGACATCATTCACTACCTGAAGAAGGCCATTGGCCGGAACGTTGTATATAATGGAATGGTTCGGAAATTTGCAAAGTATTGTGGAATGGGTGAGTTCACCCAATGGTATCTACTAGGAAACTGCAGGAAGCCTCCAAGCTTCTTTTCTGCGAGGATCTTAAATTTATTTTGTGAGCACGAAAGTACGTCGTTGTTTTGAACTTTTCGTGTGAGGAACAACACGATGATGAGTGTGTGTGTGCAGAAAACAGTACACCTCCGGCTGGCGATAACATCACCAACCCGAAACCCAAAGGAACGCAATGTAGCTACGTGAAAACGATTCATCTGACGATTTTGCTGAAGACGCAGATGACTCAGACGTCTTTCATTTCAGAGCCTCGTGGGCAACACCGCCACCTTCGATACAACGAAATGATTAACAAGTACGAGGTATGTGTGGCACACTAACAGCAAACAAATATCCTTCCACTCCTTCATGGTTACAAACAAAACAAAGGGTTGGCGCTTCGCGGAGGAAGTACCAGTGCGACAAACTGCTGCCGATGTTTGTTTGTTTTCTCCCTTTTTGGCATTCCCATTGTGTGCAACATACACATCAGTGTCCGAGTTCGGAAGGCACGGGTACACCGTACATTGAGCAGTTTCCTCGATCGACCAGCCCACGGACTGGATTTCGTTTTTCACGACGAATGTACGCGTGGAGGTCAAGTCCGGCGTGACATCACTCGGTACTTCGGGACAATTTTGGGCACCTTCTTTTCAAGTTTTCACCCACTTCCAGTCATCGCAGAGAAAAACAAATAACACCATCGTGATCAGGAGCCAAAGAACTACAAGATAAGACAAAGAAAAAGTTTGGTGACAGTTCCCCTTCAAGATAGCTCGTTGCTCTAGCGCCAGAGTGTTCTAACTATGAAAAGTAGTGAGCGATGCGTAATGCAGCAGCCTACCAAGAGTGCGCAACAAGTATGCAGTTTTATGTGATTTATTCCATCTATTCCTGTTCAAGGGAAATTGCAGATGGATTTGTGCTTGACAATCTGAATCTTGCTACTAATCACCTGGCTTAACCGACTGCTCTGCTCTGTGTGTGTGTGTGTGTGTGTGTGTGTGTGTTTGTGTGTGTTTGTGTGCATGTATATGTGTACATGGGTGTGTACATGTGTGTTGTGTATGCATGTCCTTTGGATACATGTACACACGTGTGCATGTGTTTTTGCAAAATCGGTCCATTTTTGCAGAATCATCAGCTGAACTCATTGAGCGGTTTCATAATAAGGTAAGATATGATTGATTTTGCACGGAAATTAACCCTTTGCCGGTCTAACTCAATGTATGTGAGGGATGGTCACACAAATACATGTACACACAACCAGCACTAACTCAAGAACCATGATGTAGGTATGGGTAAACCATACATTTTCAAAATCTGTGTGCCTGAACGCGCCCAGAAAATTCTAATAAGACTAGGTCCAGGCAAGGATACGGCCCACGGTAGCCCTTCAAGTTGAAGGAAAATGCAATTGCGAATGAAATACACGAATATCACGGCACGAAGGGCATACCAAGTTCGTGATGGACCTGAAGTCCTACGATAAACAATAAAGTAAGGGCTACGTCTTTACCAGAAATGTAGGCTCTCTACATTCCCGCCATTGAGCACCAACACCTCGCCATCAGCGATACGCCAGCAGCAGCAATTCCCATTCCACGATATCCAAGTTTCGGTTCGTTCATCTCAGTGCTGCTCGCGTCAGATTCACTCTCGCTCAGATGAATACTCAGGCGCGTGCTTACGCATGCCGTGATTCTCACGGCCAGGCAAATCAGCTGATCGCACTTGACGCGTCCTTGTCAGAGTTGCTGTTGCCGTGTCAACAGCAAGAAGGGTTCCTCTCTGTTTGGAGAATTTTGTTTCTTCATTCGTAGACGATTTATTTTGAACTAGCAAGACTCAACAGAGCTCTTTCCCTCAACACTGTACACTACCATGCCTCCCGGGAGATTCAGCCTGGACTGGTGATGCTACCGCTCTCAGAACACTTGTCAAACACGCCGCCAAGAGATGCTCTCGCATTCTCGAAATTCGCGGATGGCGGATGGTCGTCTTTTCCGACTTGAACAAACTTCAGTCGATCGATACGGCAAAAGTTTGTATGGTAAGTATGGTTGTTTTCTACACCGTCAGAAACCCTTGGACTTCAGCTACGCTTAGAGCGCCATTTTAGCTGTCTCCCGGCCAGCAACAAGACCCTAGAAAAATGATGGCCAAACGTACAAATACTATAGTATCGGTTCGCTTATGGTAGACCGGTAAAGGGTTACAACATGTAGGACTATAATACCAATCAGGACCCGTGAGCAGCCGCAAGCTCTGCACCCCGTCATACAGTGACAACCCCATGCCCAGTCACAAAACACAACAACCAGTCGCAGTTTCCACTGTGCTCCAAGACCAGTCACCAGAAATCAATGTGCAGGGAGCTGGACAATCAATGATAGAATCTTCCTGAGCACTGTCAGTAAAAAAATGGGCCGTAGGTGAGCGACTGGTCCCCTTGATTTGCCAGGCTTTTGTCGCGGAATAAGCGACCCACTACCGATGCTGTTCAGGGGTAGGCCTGTCCCGACTGCAGGGTTGAGGACCTGGGCGATATTGGAGTAGATGAGGGCAGGTGAGTGCTTTAGCAGCCCCTCTGGCATGTTATCTGGCCCACTTGACCTTCCATTATTCAACTTTCCAGCTGCCGGTGTCACCTCTGCCTCAGGAATGGGCCGCTCAGGCTGGAGTTACTGAATAGCCCAATCCTGGTTGGCAGGGCCCTGACGCCACAGTGATAGTGCAGTGTCTGCTCCAGAGCCGGGTGAGCCGGGTAATCGACCCGGTTGGGCGGCGCTTGGGCCAGGTTGAAGATATAGTACCGGGTCACCTGTGACCCGGTTGGTACTTTACACGTTCGAACTTTGAAAGGTCTGACTACATGGCTTGTATGTGTGACAGATCATGCAGAGGCGTGCGTCGAATACATATGTACCCGGCTCCGACCCGGTTGAAATGGTTGTGCCAGGTACACGTGTACCCGGCTGTCCTACAACCCTAGAGCAGACACTCAAGTGCACCAGGCTTGGGCGTGTACAGCTTAGAAAAGGGGTTGGTGATTTGGATGGCTACTTTTATCGATCTGTTGAGTCCGTAGTGATCGATAAAAACATGTGCGGTCCATAGAGGGTTAATTTCAGAGTCCTCTTTACTATACAAAAGAAAAGAAAAAAAGGACCAAGGAACTACAAGTTACACTAAAATGTCCACTAGCACCACCAGTTACTAAACAATCAGCTCATGCGATAACATTGCACGACACTGACCGACGGTACTGACGTTCTACAACTAACTGGCTAACAGCTCTAGCACATCTTGGGTCTCCATCTGAGTCCTTTCCATTTCAGTACTATGATAGCGTATTAGCAGTAGTTTCTGTTATATACATGAGGCATTCTCAAAGTCTAGTCGGTAGAACCAATGTGGTACTATCAGTCTACTACATGTTGGTATTGTACAGCTTGTACACCAATCACACACTACACTGCAACCACCACAGCCTCCTAGGACTACTTGATGTGAACATGAACAATATTAATCAAAGAATGGAAAATGGAAAGAGAGAGAGAGAGAGAGAGAGAGAGAGAGAGAGAGAGATCTAAGAGCTGCCGAAAACACAACATTCCTCTAGCTTCCTCTAGCATCACTGTCAAGGCAACAGCTCTAGGACTCCAGAAGAGCCCAGACAACTAAAGGCAGCTGAGCCAAGCTGAACCGGGCTCACGCTAACCCGGTGCTACTATGTACGCATACATGGAAAGGTCAAAGTCAGTGACACATTCACCACAAATGTCTTGTGCACGAAGCAGACCACACTAACGAGTCACACTGAAACATACAACCCGATGACTGCAATGGATTCCTAACAGGGCGCATGATGCTCTAGAGTAGGCATACATACATAGACTAGACAGTATACCAAGTCAATGTTACCATACGTACAGTGGTCAATGGGTATCATTGTGGGGGCACAATATGTTTACAATGTACTTAGTATCTCATTTCTAAAAACCCGTACACCACCATTGCTGGTGCGCAGACCGAAGAACCATACTCATGCTTGTGATACTGATCCCAAACACGATCAGTTCCTCCAGGCCACTAAGCACCCAATTCTAAACCATATCCAACCGAAGCTATTGTCAAAGCTGCATGGAAGATCAAGAACATCTGGGTAGATTTTCCCGCCTGGTATGCAGCTGTCTGATTAAGAATCAGGCTACATTTCCACCAGCAATAATCAGTCCTGGAGATGTCCTAGATAGGACATCCCATGACCAAGCATGCATCTATGCTGTTCCCATAGTGATGCATCTATGCTGTTCCCATAGTGATGCATCTATGCTGTTCCCATAGTAATCGTTACCAGTCGGGGAGATGTCCTATCTAGGACATCGCACTCTGATTGGTCACCTGTCCCAGGGTTGTCATGGAAGCGTCGGCTGCACACACGCGATGAAAGGAAGTGCTGCGTGAGCATTTCTGAATGTATGTGGAGCAGGAAGTCGTAAAATACCAGGGAACCGTAAAATACCGGTATTTTACGACTCCCTGATGTGGAGGATGCACGATCGTAATGGCGATGGATTTCTTTCCGAATTGGTCAAGTTTGAGGGAATAGGCGGAGAATATCAGAGATCGACGGGGATTGAGGTAGCGTATATTCGATTTGCCATCGAATACCCGACCGAATGGCCGTTTTCGTTTGGGGATTTCATGTAGGGTTTCTCGTAGCCACGCGGCGCTTCTTTGGAAACGATTGGTTCTATTTTGAATGTTTTGCCTTTGGAATGTTTCTTCATGCCCCGTGTGTTCATTTCACCCCAAACCTGGCCATGCAGAGGAGGAAGACGAGGCAGCAGGCGCTAGGCCCGTAAATTACTGCCTGGAAGATATTATTTGGCCAAAGCATGTTGGCGTTTTCAATTTCTTGGATACGACAGCTCTTGGCTAAAACTGGACCTTGGATGGTCTGTCTTGGACATCAACCGAGGATGTACCACATTAGGCGTGGTGGTCATGGACGTATCGCCATCGCTTTCAGCCAGACCTTTCTGCAATCTGAAACCAATGGCGAAAGTAAAAACTTCATCGCAGCGGCAGCTACTGCTCTGCTGAAAGTGCGAACACAAATTGCTTCGCCAATCCCGGGCCTCTTGTGCACTTGCAATTTTCAATGCGACCAAAACGATTCGCTTGTCAGTTCCTTTGTCCAGGCGTACTCCACAACGAGGAAAATAAAATTGGTGAAGGCAAGAGGCAAGATACGAATCTTGACTCGCTTGAGGCAAGCCGCCAGGAGAACGACAACCTTTGAGACGAAAGGCCCTCGTTGTGTTTGTTTTGAGTGCGACATGTTCATCTTCCTCGGACGCGACACAAAGTTTTGAGTCACGTGTCACGATTACTATGGGAACAGCATAGATGTATGCTTGGTTCCGTGATGTCCTATCTAGGACATCTCCAGGACTGGTGACTGGTGACTCAAAACTTTGTGTCGCGTCCGAGGAAGATGAACATGTTGCACTCAAAACAAATGCAATGAAGGCCTTTCGTCTTGTAGTCGTCGTTCTCCTGGCAGCCTGCCTCAAGCGAGTCGAGATTCGTATCTTGCCTCCTACCTTCACGAATTCTACTTTCCTCGTTGTAGAGTACGTCTGGACAAAGGAACTGGCAAGCGAATCGTTCTGGTCGCATTGAAAATTGCAAGTGCACCAGAGGATTGGTGAAGCAATTCGTGTTCGCACTTTCAGCAGAGCAGTAGTACTTTCGCCATTAGTTTCAGGCAGCAGAAGGGTCTGTCTGAAAGCGATGGCGGTACGTCCATGACTACCACGCCCAATGGGGCACGTCCTGGATTGATGTTCAAGAAAGACTCCCAGGCCCAGTTTTAGCCAAGAGCTGTCGTATCCAAGAAATCAAAACAATGTCAAGAGCAAGCCAAGGCCAAACATCATCTTCCAGGCAGTATATTACGGGCCTGCTGACTTGTCTTCCTCCTCTGCATGGCCAGGTTTTGGGGCTAAAGGAACGGACGGGGCACAAAGAAACGTTGCAAAGAAAAAATATTCAAAATTCAGAAACAAACGTTTCTGAAGAAGTGCCGCGTGGCTACGAGAAATCCCACATGAAATCCCCAAAGGAAGACAGCCATTCGGTCGGGTATTCCATGGAGAATCGAATATATACTCCCTCATTCTCTGCCGATCTCCGATATTCTCCGTCGATCTCCGATATTCTCCGCCGACTCCCTCAAACTTGGCCAATTTGCAAAGAAATCCATCGCCATTGCGATCGTGCATCCTCTACATACACTCAGAAATGCTCGTCCAGCACTTCTTTTCATCACGAGTGCGCGATCGACGCTTCACCTGCTGGGAGAGTATGCGTGTACTCGAGTCTCATCCTGAGCACGTTTTTTTCTTCTTTTTTTCAGCTCCAGTATAGCTGTATTTTTCATTGCAAAGCCGTCATCGATTGTTGTGTTCGTTGTTCAAACGAAGTGGACATTCAATCATGAAGGCAGAGGACATAGGAGCCTGATTGGAGTTTCTTGTGGCATAGGACGGCCACACAGAGACACTTTGGGATTTTCTGAATATAAAATACCGTACGCACGATGCTGAGATCAATTTGTGCGATATCAAATTGTTTGTGATCTACCACATCGAGCAGAACGGGATCCAAACACAAGCTTACCGACGGTTAGGCTGCCGACCTGACTGGACAAATGATCCCTGGCTTCACCAGACGCCAGACGTCGGACACCATGTCCTTTGCCGCGACGTCCATCTCCAAAAAGAACTCCATCTTCGTCGTGAAAAGGCTTGATATACTCAATATTCAACCGAGATTCGCGGTCTCACCCTTTCTCAGATCGAATCATTTTTTGTTGTAGCAGTTGCAGGGCAGATCCCCGCCACTACTTCAACAGAAGATGGCTCCAAAGCATGCCTGGAACAAGCCATATCGAGGTTGCAAGCCACCCCTCTCAGCACTTTTTTTGAAGAAATTCGAAATTTCAATGGTGGAAGATATACTATGAAGAGAATTTCAAAAGTATATTTCGCGGAGCGATCGCTCAACCTACGTCATTCAAACTTTGCAGGATGGTTCAGACGTACATGCTAGGCATGGAACCACAGAAGATGATATCATAGCTGACACACAGAGTCACACACACAGCAGATTCGTGTGCACAGATACTAAATTAGTGGACGTCGTCATCTTCTTCCCGCTGATCTCAAATGTACGATGACGTGCTATTTCGCCTGACGGTTGTGATTAGCCAAAACCAATCTATTGCCTTTTCCGAAAAATTGGAGCAAAATCAGTTTTTTCGTGGGTCGCGGGAAATGGTCCGTTTCCAAGAAGAAAAGAGATGCTGCCACTGCTGCAACTCTCTCGTGTGCTCCCAATGCAATTCAAAATCAGGTGGTTCTTCCTTTATCTCATTCCAAAGCCGTACAGGATAATTAGTGGTTTTGGCCCACGTAGACAAGCGCTTGCTGATAATTCACAACTTCAAAACAACGAGCGGATGAGGACGAAGCTACACATGCTGAAGAACAAGCATGCACAACACAAGTAAAAACAAAGAGAAACGGATAACAGACTGGGCGCAGACAAAGGTGTGAAAACACAGTGCACACGACTAACTCAAACAGCCAGAGGCCGGAGGGCTACAATGAACACTGGAAAACGCCGTACACACAAGCACTCGAACAGCCAGAGGCCGGATGGCTACAATACTGAACACACACCTACACACACACACCGTGACACACACACACAGTGACACACACACACACACCAGAGGCGGATCTAGGGGAAGGCGCGGTGGGCGCGCGCCCTCCCCTCAAATATTTCGATTTTTTAGTGCATGCACGTGGGCAGTTGCGCAAGTGTTTGCACATGCTGTGACAAGTAGTTCCTAGTGTCAGATAAGAAAGTTCTTCTGAACACGGAATAGTTGTTCTCTTAGACTTTGGTTGACTTTTAGTTTTGAAATTAGTGTTCAGTTGACGAACTTGTATAGCTAAGTCGGTGAAGGGGATGGCACACCGCCCGCCCAAGCGGCCAGGGAGCCAACAAACTCTCCACGGATTTTTCGCAAAGCGAACTTGCGCTTCGTCAGCTGCTCAGTCGAGCGATCCGTCTTTGGAGGAGAATTCGGACCACAGCAAAGATCCTGAGATCGAGGTCTGCTCAGACTCTGATCTTCCCCAAATGGAATCCGAAGTAGATTCTGACGACGATGGGGACTGTCAGTAGTAGTGATGCGAGTCAGGAGCGTTTACCTGTTGTAACTATCGCAGATGACGACGTTGTGACTGTCACGAATGTGGCTGGTGGCACTGCATTCTGACTTGTGTCACATGATTGTACATAACACGTTACATGCCAATATTTGCTGTAGACATATGCATGTGTATATAAATGCTGAAACCGAACCCAATGCTCACACTACGATTGTTTTCTTGCTAATGTATTTCCACTCCATTGCTGGACATGCCCATCCAAGTAATCGTATATTTTACTATTTTGCCATTATTGTTCTCGATCTCAGCATGTCTTGAGCTTTGAAGCACTATCTTTACACAATTCAATGTAGTGCGGCTATGTTCTACTACAGCCAGAGTCCTCAATGAAGTGGTTGAAAAAGTGGGAGTGAGTGCATGTGCTAAAATAGTAATTCTACATAACCGCTAAGCCTATGACGTACAATAGCCGCTATGTCGTAATGTGTACAAAATACATGTACCGCATGGGTTCCCAGTCATGAATATTACCCGCGCCCTCCCCTCAGCTGAACTCTGGATCTGCCACTGCACACACACACAATGGTGCTACACTGTACAAACAGGAGTCAGGCAAGACTGAGAGAACACAAGAGGACAAGGTACCACAGACTCACACCGAGACCCTCCGCGAAACAATTTGAAAATGCTCAATTGAATACAAGGAACAAAACATGACGCAGGGCAGACAAAGCGTACTCACCTATGGATGAGCTGCCGTAACAGAGCTGAGCAGTTCCAGGAAATCGGAGCCATGGTGAGGTCGGGGTGAGCGGACAAGATAAGAAGAAGGAAAACGGAAGACGATCTCAGGGTCGTCGAGAACCATCGATCAATTAGGCGCCAATTGTCATCGGGGTTGAGGACCCGACAATAGACTTCTCTGTTACTCGCACTGAACCTCTCACTTGCCTCCCACGTATACAACACTCAGCAGCCCAGATCATTGTTCCGATTTCCATGACGGTTCAAGAAGAAACAAAAGCAAAACTCCAGAGAAAAAGGAGAAAAAGGCACTACAAATACAAGCACGTATGCGCCAAGTATAGCAACCTGCGCAGTCCACACGCAGAAGCGAACTCCAGCGCCAAATGGGACCTCGTAGGGGTCCAAAGGACAACAAGAACAACAGACGTATCTCCACCATAAGTTAGCCATGAGAAAATCGTTCTGAGGGCATCCCTTTGCCAATGCGTTGCTCGAGTTGCTTGAGCTGGCTACTGCGCTGTAGTGATGCTTTATGTACTCGCCTTAGCTAACATAGGATTAACCGTAGTGGGTTACCAACACATCCAGAGTGCGGGACCTGGTGCCCCTAACTGGGCCCACCTGGTGCCCCTAATGGCTTAGCCACTTTGCCACTCTGGCATGCATTCATAACTTGCTAGGTGGTTTAAGAACAACACAGTCCCTATCACCACAGGTCATATTGGCTCACCTCTTTTTCTCACCGCATTATATGCTGAATCTGTACCTTGATCCTTAAGAGGGTAGTGGCACTCCTGCGCATTTGGAAAAAGCAATCTGACTGACTCTCATGGGTATCCTTCAAGTGTGTTCAGTTCTATCGTGAGGGGATATTGGGTAAAGGTTTCATGTTGTCACTTCATTGTTTAATTCTGCACAGTTTAATCTCTGTTGGATCTGTTCTTGGTGTGTCTGCACAGGAAAATCATTCGGTGGATGTCATGTGGGAGAAGTTCATCTCCTGCTTGCACACCGGCCCCATGGGACCGCCAAAAGATGCCAGCAAGCACGCAGCGCCTCTGGGATCGTTCAAGCCGATCGCTGGGTTGCGCTACCGGATCATGCGAGATCGTACACTGGCCAGTATCTGCTACACGGCCAGCCTGCTCTTGACCCAGTGCTGGAGCGAGCCGAGTCATCAAATGACTAATCGCGCCGACGCTGATATCTGCAACAGTCCTATGGACTTTATGCTGCTGGGCATGTCACTACTAGTCAGTCTGGCAAGTCGAGATGACTTCTCAACATTGCGCTGTACCGATGAATACCGGTTGTTTATGGCGCGTCTCAACAACTTCTGCCTGTGCCATTGGCGCCAAGATACTGCGAACTATTTCAAGGAACGCCACCGATTGCTGGAGCAGTTTTCCAAGTCTCTGCCGCGTGGCTCTGGAGCGATGCGAGATGTTATCAGCACGCTCGTAATGATCACTAACATGCAGTGCGTCTACACAGTGTTCGCTCTGGTGATCATTGATGGTTGCGTGCAGAGCACATCGTCCACCAACCCTGCACACACTCAACTGATGTGGAGGCAAGTTGCCGAGTCGCTACATTGGCAGGAGCCAACTTTGCGAAAGAGCGTCTTTCTCGATCTGCTCAGCTCTGACCTAGAGATGGGACTCTACCAAGGGTTCTCCTTCGTTCTTCCTATCGTCGAGCTGTCCAGGAAGTTGTTCTATTATCAATTGTTCGAGGACGCATCCATCTTCCACAGTTATTCGGCCTTGTCTGTTGATTTTGCCAGTGATGCATTGTCAGTGTGGAGATTGGCATCATGCAGCAGCTCGAGGGAAGACGGCGGCAGTGTTCGACGGCTATTGGAGGACACATTGTTCCTGGGAATGAATGACGTCCTCCCGTTTGTTGTGTCGGCAGCTGCCTACTACCTGAAACCTGCTACCTTGGCATACATGATGCAAAGCTCAGTCAAGGAAGCATCGACCATGTATGATAAGATCCTGCGCATAGTTGACCCTAGACATGAACAAGGATTGCAATCAATTGTGAAGGCTGTCCTGTACACATTTCAGCGTGAGCACCAGTCTCTATCCTACCTAAATGAAGTACTAGCCGGAATGCAGTCCGATGAGCCAATGGAAAGGGAGCTGTTTGCTGGTGTTGCAAGCCTGCTGCTCAGCGGCAAAGTAGAGGTCAAATACTATGCCCCTGATAATGTGGAAGAACTGATGGACACAGTTGCAGGTATCTGTGACCGTCTCAGTATGCATCAACTCTGGGACGGTGCTGTGGCCAATAACCTGGAGTCTGCCATCATCTTCATTCACCGCATCTGCGGCAGCAGCGCCACCATTACTGCCAGAGTTTTCAAGCGTTCGGCTAAGCTGCGTGAATGCCGTGTCAAGCCGTCTCGTCGTATGCCACGTGATTTCTCCATCGGCTACTCAGAAGCAGCTGGCTACATGAAGCAGTGTTGTGTGGTTCTGAATGAGCTTTGTGATGACGCTGCATGCCTGGATCCCAACGGGCCTCAGATGGTCTTCTGGCTGTGGCTATCGTCAAAGATTGTGACCCAATGGAATGCGTGCGAGCTGAAGGAAGCCTTCAATCCCCTATTGGAGCTTGCCTCACACCTACCAGACTTTGCCGAAGTGCAGAAGCAGCACCCACTGTCTATCGTCCTGCAGGCCATCCTCTACTCAAAATTCTTGGGTAGCCTGAAAGTGTCCCTGTCACCTCCAAATTACCTGGCCCTGAAGGAGAGTCCCACTGTTTGCCAGTTGCTTGGACTGTGCGAGGATGCATTGACTAAGTGGCACGAAGTCAACGCTGGTTCGAGCCCGAAATACTTATTCGAAGGCTATTATCAGCTAGTGGACAATGCACATGATGTGAGAATGCGCCTGACAGCCGACCAATACACGCTTGAGGAATACTCTACGTATCTAACCTTCAAGGAGAACCTGAATCAGCTCTTGTGCCATCTTCAGCTGGAAACCATAGCAGACCTAACTGGCTGGAGGGATGCCAGCAAGAAACTACACACATTCAAGTCTCTTCTGTACTGGCTCGTAGCAAAGGAGATCAACGGAGCGCGCACCTCGTGTGCTCGTATCACACACCTGTCTGAGAACCGGCAAGTCAATCTCTGTGATGTCAACAGTGAGCTAGCCAAGACTGAAGCCCTGTACTACAAGCGCCTTGACTTCAAAGTCGACGGCACAGTCACCATGAAGGCACACAAGTTTGTGGCATCCACAGTTTCAAAAAGCAGGATATGCCGCTATTTCGAGAGCTGCGCACAGACCTCCAGTACCTTTGGCAACTCTAAACCACTGGAACGCCTATTAAAATCCGTTCATCGTGAGTTGAAAACACTGTTGCATCCAGAGGCTCACTTTGGAAGAGTGTGTGCCGTCATCGGTTCAGTATTCAAGGGCTGGAACGAGCCAGCTGCCACTATTCTCCCAGCTATTGAGGCGGAAATGCGGCTGCTTCGAAGCTGCGAGCTCCTGCACGGTGAACGCAATGCTATTGACCATCTGCAGCGTATCTGCCTCTGCAGTTGTGCCCGGGAGCAAGGCGTGGTCAAGGGTTTGCTGCGCTTCAAGGTGGCGTCAAACACGGGAGAGCTCCATGATTTCCTGGTTGAAAACAGTCGCCGATATGACTGGGACTGCTCTTTGGCCACGGCTGACCGTAACTCAATGTGTTTGTACCACGTCATCAAGGATTTCAAGCCATGGCAGTGGGACTTCTTTGTGCGCTATGGCAAGCACGAGTACGACGATTTATTCAGATTCTACAACGACGCGTTTGAGCGTCATGAGAACTTTGAGCTGGACCTGGCGTTGGTGAACTCAAGCCTTGAGGATCCATATCAAGCTGGTTTGGTCAACAGTTTCAAGTCACTGCAGCCCGCCATGGAGCAGTTCTTCAAAGGTGGCAGATCACTGAAAGATATCATTGATTTCCTGTGCTCTCCGGCCATTGAAGACGTGAACTTTGATGATGCTGTGAAGAACCTACCAATGGTCAGCTCGCTGCTGAAGAGCATCATGGGGAGCTACTTTGACGCTGTGCAGAAGTATCGCGATGCATTGCTTGCCGACTCTGCGTTTGCGGCTATCAACCTGAAAGATGATAAGCTGACGTACTATTGTGAAATTGAGTTAGACAATGACCTCACCACCTCTGGCACCAAGAAAAAGAAGTTGGAGATGGAGGAACTCAATGAGCTGCAACTATGGTTACCGTACTTCCACCCGGAAGGTGATGGTGGAGATGAGGAGAGTCCCATTGTCAACTTGGCGAACTGTCTTTCTCTTCTCGGCACAGTGTACGAGACGGCCAGGCGTCTGCAGGAAAACGGGCACTTCCAGTACCTGTACCGTCTTTGTGGAGTGGAGTGCTCACCTTTTCGGCTGCGCCTCGACAAGGTGAAGCAACTGGTGCAGCAGTCGAAACTTGCTGCTCGTCAATGGCAGTCCAAACTCACCGATCTGCGCGAGAGTTGCCCTGTACTGCACCTGTTCTCAGACCGTGATATTGGCCACATGCTGCAGCTTGTGCTGGCCGTCATGATGGGAGACGAAGCCATGACCAATGCGTCGGTTCTCTACTCATACATGCTGACGCTGCATTCGTTCGCCACAGTACCAATCACACTCACACCGAGTGAAGTCGCCAATAACATTCTCACAGCAACCAGCTTCAGTGCAACGCAGCACCTGGTTCAAATCTTTTCAGCACCCAATGTAGTCAAGGAGCACAAGACAACGATTGCTCATCCGAACAAGCAGTATATGCTTGCTGTTGATGGGTGCCTGGCACCACACAACTTTCCAACGGCACTGCTCACTGTTATTGTCAGACAACTTGGCACGGTGCGCTTCTGTCGAACCCAGTTTCTTTTCTGCGACTGTTCGACTACGGAGAGCGCTTTGAACTGCTTCTTCAACGCTGTGACCCTGTCTCCAGACCAGCACTTTGTTGTCTGCCAACCGGAGAGCCTCTCACCGCATTGCCAAGCACTGCTACTAACACTTCAGATGAAGGTGAAGATGAGGCCAGTTGGCTGTCAGGTCCATTTCATCACCTGCGATAAGCTTCTCTTCGACACATGGCCAGATCAAGGTTTCCTGGTGAAGAAGTTTCTCGACCCACTGGGCTTTAGCGAGCTTAATGATAACTACCATGAGCTCAATCACATTGCACCGCTCTCTCTGCCCAATGTCACCACTGTCTCGGGAGGAGCTGGTGACGGAAAATCTCATTATATTCGTCGACATGGCTCTGATCTTGTGGTTGTCGACATTGCTAACTTTTCCGACACCAGTCAATTTTGCCGAATGCTCATGAAGACATATTATCAGGAAGTGTGTCCATCCGTGCACATCAGACTGGGAATCAAGGCAAACTTGGCTGACGTGAACCGAATCTTCTTCGAGCTCTTCTGGCTGGGTGTGCTGCGTGCTCCGTGCGGAGAACAGATATTTGGCATCCTACCGCATGTTCACCACCCTTGGGACTGGTACGTGGAAATACCCGACGATCCTGAGCTGACGGAAGATGGCAGTGCTCTTGACCTGGAGAGAGATTTGCCATTTCTGATGACAGTATCAACACAGATAATCCATCATGGCAAGTCCATGAGCCATGATGCAGCGGATGAAGAGAGCTTGGAGATTGATGCCAACATGGTTCGGGTTGCGGGTCATTTGAAATGCCTTTTCGGCAACAAGCAGCATATGGCCGGTCAGAGATGCCACAATGACAAAGAATGCAGGCGTGCATATCACTTGGTCATGCGAGACGCTTGCAAGAACTGGCAGCTGCTGAATGACATGCCGGCCTCTAGCAGTTTGGGAGGGAGTTCGTCCATGACAGAGGCTGCACCAATCAGCAAAGCCCAGGAGATGTTGGTCTATCGATATATCTGTCAAAAATGGACCACGACGTTGACCCGTGAATTTCAGGAGCGCTGCAAAGAAGATCGAGAGCTCTGGTTTGATGTCTTACGACACATTGTACAGGAGGCAAGCTACGTGTGTCGGCCCAGGCTGCTATTTGTTCTCAGTGAGTTCAGATTCCCGGTGCTGATTTCAAGCACACTGGAACTCATTTCTTCTCAGTCCGGTCGTGAGATGAAGGAGGCGTCCGAGGGAATGCTGGAAGGGTGCCTGCCGCCAGCACGGCGAATGTTTGTCGACACCGGAAGTAGCGACGGCAATAAGGAAGGTCTTGTCAAGCTGCTTGCAAGCACGTTCAAGATTTCAGAACATGACGTGCAGCGGGTGCTACGCCGTCGCAAATTTGTCCTCACCGAGGACTTTGCATTCAAGTTGGTGTTGATCCACGAGCGACGTGATCTTCGACAGCCGTTAATCCTGGAAGGGGATACTGGAACAGGAAAGACTTACTTGCTGAAGCTCTATGCATCACTTCTAACGCAAGCTGTGTCCGTTCATCTTGTACCTCTGACACTTAAATGGATCCGGAGTATGATCTTTGGTGAGAGCTGGAACAACATGAACTCGCAGGGCCGCCAGACGTTCCCCAAAACGGCTGGTGCAAGTGCAAGCGCTAGCGGCAGCAGAGGGGAAATGCATTACCCTGAAGATGGTGACTTTAGCAGCTTCACAACAGAGGATGTGCTGAAAATATGGGACAGCTTTCTGCTAGCGCTGCCACCTGACTCTGCAAGTAGGGTCATAATTAAGTTGCAACGCGTAATCAAGTCCTGGAAGAATGATTATCCTGTCCTCAAGCCAGTCACAACTACCGTGGAACAGTATGTCGAGAAGGTGATTTCCAACCAGGAAAGCAGACAACTCCTAAAGTCGTGGCTAGAAACGAAGAACAAACGCATGTTCTACAAAGTCCTAGTGCATCCTGGCCTGACGAAGAAGAGCATCATAACAACCGTGGAGAAAGCGTCTCGAACAGCTCGCAGCACTAAGCAAGCTGTTGTAGTGTTCTTTGATGAAGTCAACACATCAAGCTGCCTGGATCTCTTCAAGGAGATGTTTATTGAGAACACTATTGATGGCAAGAAGGAACTCTGCTCTAGGTCTGTGTTCTTCATCTCTGCGTGCAATCCGAAAGTGACTGAGACAAATTACTTTCAACTTCGTCGGGTAACGGAGGAAGGATTCGAACCGACATATGATGTGCGTCAGTTGCCAAAGTCATTGCAACTTTACGTCTGGAAGTATGAAACACTGGTCGGAGAAAAAGAACTTGAAGACTATACTGCTGACAAGATTCGGTTTATGAAGGGCCACCCGATGTTGAAAAAACTGAAGTTGCAGGAGGAATTTTCAGACAATGTTTTGGATTTGCTGAGCAAAATGCTATTCCATGCGTACCAGTACAGCCGCATTATGATCGGGCCCAGCTTTACCAGTCAACGAGATGTACAGCGTGTCTTCCTGCTCATACCATTCTTCTGGAAGGTGGAGGTCTTCAAGATCACTCAGGATGGATATCAGGCCTCAGTACAAGCTCTGCCAGACAAGGTTCTGCAGCGCTGTATCCTTCTCTCGGTGGCAGTCGTCTTCTATCTCCGGCTTCCAATTGAGCCATGTGCCAGGTACAAAGGAGCCTGTCGTGCCGATCTTGATGCGTATATCAGTGATAATGTGAAAAACAAGGAACTTGGAAAGACTCCTCTTGCAGCTGTATTGGAACAATGCATCCGAGAGTTTGTCAATGAGGATAACTTCAAGATTCCGTCTGGTGTGGCACTAACCAATGCCCTGAAAGAAAACATCTTTTGCATTGTCGCCTGCATTCAGACGAAGATACCACTGGGAATAATCGGTGAGCCTGGCTCTTCCAAGACTCTCAGCTTTCACATAGTACGGGACAACCTGATTGGCGATCATGCACCTCGGCCGTTTTGCCGGCAGTTCACGTCGGTGGACCCGTTTTTCTGCCAATGCTCACCGGAGACGACGACGGGCCAGATTGAGACCGTGTTTGAGAACGCGCTGACACGGCAAGGTCTGTATCTGAAGACGGACAGTTCTGGCAGCTCTCGACCGTCATCTGATGATGAGGAGCCCACACAGATTCAGCGCTTCTGCCAGGCAACGGTGTTCATGGATGAGGCGGGTTTGCCGGGCTACAAAAAGAATCGCTCCGTGATGAAAGTACTGCACCCGTACCTTGACGAGCCGGAGGTGGCATTCATTGCCCTGTCCAACCGTTGGTTTGATGCAGCTAACACCAACCGCATGGTGACACTGCTCCGATCACCATCGTCAGCCAGTGAGCTGAACTCTCTTGCAAAGGGAGTTGCTATGTTTGCTCATCCCGGCGATGATTTGGTTCAGCTCAGCTCTGACGCAGAGGACCTACTACAGAGTATCTGTGCAGGCTATGAGTCCGTGATCAAGCGCCATGAGAAGTTTTTCCACCAGCGAGACCTCATTTCTCTGGTCCGTTGTTTGCGACGTCTGAAACTACTAGATAAGCCAACCGAAGCTATTGAAGAGGCCCTGCGTCGTGCAATTGAAGAGAACTTTGGTGGTCTTGAACAGGCTGAGAGTGACTGGATTGTGGCTGAGTTCTTCAAGAACATCACTCTGCCCTTGTTTGACAGAGCTGCTGAGAATGTTCCCCGAAACAGTTCTCTGCAGACGTTATGCTCCTTGAGAGATCAAGTAGCTTTTGATCATCAGGCAACAATTAGCTGCCACTTGTCATCTAGTCCTCTGGCACCACGCTACCAGCTTCTTGTCGACGAGCTGGGCTATGAGCAAAATTTCCTGGACATCCTGTTTCACATTGGCCTCCTGAAGCGCGATGGAGATGAAACCAAGGTATTCCAAGTATCGAGCCTTTCCGGTAACGACGAGGACTTCCAATGCTCCAATATTCTTGCCAGCATCAAGCATAGCCTGGAGAAACCATGTACAGCTGTCATCTGTTACTCTCCTAAGCTTCATGGCTTCCTCTATGAGCTTTTCAATCAGAATTTCCGCACCTTGACCGCGCATGGAAAGGAGTGCACCTACTCTAGCATTGCCATGAAGGATAGCTCGTTTCCGTGCCAAGTTCACGAACATTTCCGCTGCATTGTCATTGTTACCCGGGAGATGGCCAAAGCTGAGAAGACGCCATTTCTCAGCCGCTTCTCGAAATTCTCGGTGACTTCTACGGATGTTGTGGACTACATTGCTACACGGGCCAGCAAACTCCAAGATCTTGAGGCCCTACTGCATCGGTGTGTCGCTCTGACTAGTCATGTGGAGAAGAGGAACTTCATTGGCTGCGGTCAGGATCTATTCGCTGGAACTCTCAACATGCTACTGGTTTCACAGTTCTTCAACTCTGCCGGCGCATTCTCACTTGGAAGCAGCCTCTCTGATTCTACCACCGCAATTCTGGAGTCACTATTCCGCATGATTCCACTGGAGTCTTTCCTGAATGTGTGCTCATCCTTCACACCAGTGGAGTTGTATGCTCGTGTGTACTTTGAATGTCACACGGACTTCACGTTGCAAGGGGCAATTTCAAGGAGGAATTCCCGGGAGCTTGGTCTGAGGAAACTTCTGCTGATCACGCAGTCTCCGCAGTCACGCATTCAACAGCTTAATGGTTTGCTGACGAGCCGGGGCCTGTCAGCAGTGCAAGTCGTGTCAGTCAGCGCGTTCCAGCACTACTCCGAGGCCAAGAAGGCTGTGAAGGACTTCATCCATGGTGATGGAGACAGTATTGTGTTTCTCTTCAACATCTCTCAGCCATTGCAAAAGGCAGCCATTGGTTCCATGCGACAGCTTATTGACGAGCAGTGCGTGACGTGGCGGTCAGCACTTGTTGGTAAAGACAAAACATTCGTGCTGCTGATCTACTCGCTCCTTGAACTACGGATGACTGACTCTGTGCTCGTGTCATTCTTCAATGGCTGGACATCTCAGCACGTGTCAGTTCTCGATGAGAAGCAAGTGCAGCCACTGACTGTGCCTGAAATCCTGAGTCTTACTGGCTCCACCCATTCACAGCCGTCTGATCCCAGTAGCGATGACATTACCGCTCGACTGAAGGCTTCTTCTGCGTGCCTTGTTGCTGAGTTCTGTTCTCGTCTGACTTGTGTGAACACAGTAAACTTAGCCAGCACCAAGAAACATGAAGACCTTCCTGAGGAATGGAGACCCTTCTTCAAGCCGCTGTATCGAAAAGCGGCCGACTCTCAGCAACAAGCAAATGCACTACAACTGATCCTTGATGATCTACCTCCGGTGTTTGAATGGCTGGGCGAGGCATTTCACAGCTGGGCACACCAACATCAGAACCTTGATGTTCTGCTCGAGACGTGCAGGAGATCTGGCGTCAGCTCGAGACGAGGCACACTGGTGGATGTGCTGCATGAGGAGATAGACACCGTTGTCAAAGACCTGATGCAGACTATTCTCCTTGCACTGCTGGACGACTTCAATCTTCACAATATCATGAGGCTTGGCCTAGTGAAGAGACCCAAAGAACTGCTGCACCTGTTGTCATTTGTACCAGGCACACCGATTCCAGTGAATTGTGATGGTCGTCTTGTATCACTGCGAGACAGAACTGCACTCACTCCGTTTTTTAAGCAGATATGGTGGCGAATGGAGCAGAATGTCGCATCGATGCGTGACACCAAACTCGATATGGTGCACCAGGTATTTTCAGCTGATCCAGTTCTGAAGGACGAGTGGCTGTTCGACACCAGTGACGATTTCCAGCAATGCTTCATTGCAGACTGTATTTCTTACGTTGCAAAATGGCCGAAACCTCGTGAGAATATGCACCCCAACATTGCCATCGGATTTCTTGTCAAAGAATTCAAGTCCATCGAATCTGGGCCAAGTCTTCTGTCGTTCGTGTGCTGCGCACTCAAACGAAAGGACTACCGCTTGAGACTGTTGTCACTGCTTCACGGAGCTGATGTCCTGTACGAGATTGTTGGTCATGATAGGTACGGCGCTCTTGAGCATGCGTTACTGGACATTGCCGATGCTGATGACATGGTGGATGATTTTGCAAAGCTCCTGGTTGACGAGTTGTGGACTGAGCTGGCCAGCTGCTTGCAGATGCGACCTGGTGAGGAGTTCAAGACTGCTCTGTGCACTTGGCACCTACACTACAAATATGGTAACGACCACTGGCCGCAATCTGGTGTGCCACGTCGCTCCACACAGCTCAGTCAGTTACTGGAGTCCTCCATTTCCTTCGCTCAACGCAAGTTGCCAGGCAAAGCAGTCCTCTTGGAGACGGTTAGGAGGGTAATTGACTGCTTCTCCTCGAACGATGGCTACCTGCAGAGCTTCTTGGCTCGCTACGTCAAGCAGTTCATTGTCAATGACGACTGGACAAAGATAAGTTACGAGAAAGCCACTCTGGGAAAGACCATAGAAACACTGCTGCGCGAACTCCAGACGCACAGCCCGTATGACGAGGCTGTGCAGGTCATGCTGCATTGTGCCAGGTGGCTTCTGATTGGTATGGAAGGTAGACCACTAGCCAGCATGAAGGACCTGCGCATGGACGGTGGTTGCAGCCAGACTCTGAGTATCCTGAACAGCACAGACTTGGACAATGGTTGCGCGGTACCACTGGCCATCGGTGCCAGTATGCTAGAAGACCTGGTGGACATCATCACTGAACAAAACCTGAGCCCAGTCAGCACGGTTATTCGGAACACAGTTGATCATGCTCTCGGTGATGCACTTATTGGCAATGATCTGTTCAGACAATGTACTTACTACCCGGCAATGTATGTCCCACCCTACTTTCCCAGTAGCTTTGCTGAAATCAACCGAGTGCCGGAAGAAGTCATTTCAGTGATGAACAGTCCCTTAGCCCATGCATTCTTCCTGATGGTCTTCAAGCGTGATGGTCGGTCCGACCGAAACTTAATGCTGCTGATGGAAAACGCTCACATGACTTGTGAAATCCGTATGGGAACGTCCTTTGGAGCCTGGGCTGTGGAGAAGTGCTGCTGTATTCTGCTGGCGTTTCGCCTGGCTGCTGTGATCACGGCTGGCTTTGCGCGTGTTTTTAACAGCAAGACAGACAGCAGTCGCATGTCGGAGCTCAGATTCGATGATGCCAAACACGTGGCCAGGCTTTTCAAAGATCACAAGAAGGCCAACTTGTGGCCGGAGTACTTCTTGCTGGAGGCCAGCCTGGAGCTACAGTGGGGATCAATGCTTGACTATCTGACGGAAATGAGTAAGCGAGAGGACTCCCACTGGGCCTGCCAGCTGATCAAGCAGAGTGCTGTTATCAGCCGAATGCAGTGTGTGACGCTAATGGAATTTTGTAGCGAGCCCTGGACACACTTCAGGGAGGTGAAGCAGATGTATGCAACACTAGTGAAGGAGTTAAAGCGGAGCACAGACCCCATATCAGTCCTATGCAAGGTGACATGGCTTGGAAAAAAGACACCGCCCAGAGAACTCACAACCAGCGGAGAAGTGGCTGTTCTGATGGCCGTGTATGATCAGTTTGTGCAGACAAACAGTGCCGCGGACGTTCGTGGCGTCCTGGATGCTACCGACCTGCACTGCTCACCGATTCTGTACGCCGCCCTGCAAATCCTGCTGTCTGCTCCCTTGGCTAATCTCGGCCGAGAGGCACGCGATGTTCTCTATGGCGCTCAACTACCTGAACAGAAAACCGTGCGAGACATTCTAATTTGCTCTCTGGTGTCATGTATGCTGGCTCAGGGTGACAGCCACTGCAAGACATTGCTACACGCTCCCATCGATTCGGTTGATTCTTATATGTTCGGAGCGTTCTCCAAGCGAAGCTCATGTCTGTCGAGAGCTCAGTCTCTTCTGGACTATTTCCAGTCAGAAGACTTGCCGCTCATGGCATATGAACAGAGTGCTTTGTCCGTATCACTGTCTCATGCAGCACTGGAGCTTAACACAATCCAGACCTTTGCGGCACTGACCTGGCATTCATTGCTCTATTGTGAGAAGCCGGCCACGGGAGCGTCCAGCAACGTTGTCCACCTGCGGCCGCAAAATGCTACGTCTAAGCCTGGCTCTCCATGCAGCCCGGCAAGCCTGGACATCGTGGTCAAGTACATACATGCCATTAAGAGGTCATACAAGCGCCTGCAGAAAGCTGACATCAACATCTCATCATTGAACAGCAAGTTGCTTGTTTACAACTCGATGATGCACATGGCGATGGCGATGAATACGCCGTTCAAGGCATTCTACACGGACAAGAGAGATCGTTCTTATGCCGAACAGTTCTATCAGAACATAATCATTGATCCAGCTATTCAGGCCACTTGTCAGATCACCGAGCACATCCTTACACAGGAGAGAGATGCCCTCAAGACCGATTTTGTCAAGATCTACCAGAACCAGCGACCGTTCGTGTTTGACCTGGCCGGAGAGATGTGGTACATGATCCTGGAGAGTGGCGACGAGCATAGTGTTCTGTCTCATGTCTTTACATACCTCGCGCAGTACAAAGCAATACGACACGTAAAGAGTCTGATTGAGCTGCACCAGCATGCCCTGAAGTGGTTCTCTCTTGTCTTTATGCGCGACGAAGTCATCGACCAACGTTTGACGATTGGACGGGCCATCGAGGACATGCGCAGCTGGAGTGGCCAACGATCGCAAAAAGAAGTCCGGCAGAGTCTGTACCGGGCTGTCGAAGACTACGCCGTCATATGCCGTGCCTTCTCCAATCTGCCGGGCAGCAGCCATCCAGCCTGGCTACCACAAAGACACGCGGGCAAATGTTTGACTGCCGACTCTCTGCTGACTGATATCGTGTCCACAGTTGCTGACGGAGGAGAACCGTCGTTTCTCGAGTGTATAGTGCAGAGTGTTCTCTCCTGGCAAACTGACCTGGTCAAGCTCTGTGCCATGGTCTTCAGCATCGGTGCCAGATCCGAGCAGTCTGCCACACTACCCGAGAAAGTGGAACAGGCACTGTCTGAGATGAAGGCAGACGTTTCGCCGGAGAAAGTTGTAGCTGACAACGGTGCAGGTCTGCTGAATCTCACGCAGAAGGACGTGGATGAACTACTTGAAGTATACTGTCGCAAGAGAAAGGATGGTGCTCGGTGGAAAATCCATGTTGATTTTGAATTGCTGGAGTATCAATTCGTTTTACGGTGTGCATCCAACGTGAGGAATATTCTGTGGAAAGACAGCTGCGTACCGCTTTCGTTCACTGCTGAGGATGGTGAGCAGCTGTCTGCTGGCGAAGTTAGGGACCACCAGCTGACCCACGAGGAGCAGTGCGCCATTGCGCAATGCTTGTGTGCCCTGGACAACGTCAAAGAGCTGATGTACGACTTGAAGCGTTTTGTACATGACCTGAAGGTCTCTCCCATTCCCGATGGCTCTAAAGTGGTGCTTCTGAAGGATGCTTTGGAATGGAAACTAGACAAAGAAGGAATTGAGTACCGTAGGCTGGAGCCTCTTGGTGACCTTGTGGATGCCCGCAAAATAGAAGCAGTGATTTGCATGCTGGAGTCCTTCTGGCATAGCGCTGAGTCTGTGGTTTCAAAATTTCCAGCAACTCTGCAACATGAGATGAGGCAGGAAGATAAGACGCTGGTGAGCACTGCTTTATCGAAGCTGTTCGAACTGGGAGCCAACGACCACTTGGATGAACTGCAAAGGATCAGTGTAAAGTGTAACTTGATTGAAGAGTGTCTGAGTCTAGTCTACTCAGTTGTTCCCAGTATGCTCCAAAATCCGAGTAAGAGCATCTGTGAATGTATTGGCCGGGATGCGACGCGAGCCATATCTGATGCAGTCCGAGCGCTGATAGCTGAGTTCCCTCGGTCCATTCTGGGTTTTCACAGCAAGCAGCTTGTGAGCATCATAGCCAGGTTTCTGAGAGAGAAACAGCTCGACACGGAGGCACTACAAGCTCGCTCATTGACGCTCCATGATCCTTGTGAGCTGAGAGAGGCACCGGATTCAGTGCTGGACGCACCTCAGCAGGTGGCCCCAGCTGACAAGACGCAAATGACTCCCATCCGTATCAAAGTACAACGAGGCTACGGCATGGATGTTGTGCAGGACATCCAGCTTCTAGCACCAGCAGAAGCCTCGATGGCCGAGCTATTGACAAGCAACGTGGAGGGAACGGTGGCTTGCTATTTTGTGTCGCAGATTCCGTTCACAATGCAGGATGTTAACATGGTGGAGAACTTTGTGCAAGGAGACAGTGATCATGTCATTGATGTGATCGCTATCATCAAGGCTTGATGGTGAGTTACTGTGGTTGAGAGGCAATGAAGTACGTTGACTGGTTTTTCCTTCTTCTTTTTTGCTATTACTCCATATGACTTTTAAAGGAATTCGGGTGGACACACACATTCCCATAGCGCTGCACATCCGAACCAGTTCCGTTATTTTACGTTTCGGCGCTTGGCCATCATCAGGTAATAAGAACAATGAACAGTGGACGGAAGAATCCATATGACTTTAAGGGACAAATCATTTTGATGGTTTTAAAAGAGCCAATGGCTGTAACGACAAAAATATCACCGGACATGAGCCAATTCTCCGATTTTGCTCAAAGTTGGCCCCTGTTATCCCTGGGTGGACCTCATCGCCCCACTGAGACATTTTGGCCCCTGTTATCCCTGGGTGGACCTCATCGCCCCACTAAGACATTTTGGCCCCTGTTATCCCTGGGTGGACCTCATCGCCCCACTGAGACATTTTGGCCCCTGTTATCCCTGGGTGGACCTCATCGCCCCACTAAGACATTTTGGCCCCTGTTATCCCTGGGTGGACCTCATCGCCCCACTAAGACATTTTGGTCCCGAGACCCTCCATTGCTTGGATATTGGGCAAAGTAAAAATATCTACTAAACTACGCACTGAAACTAGGTACATGTAGAATAACGAGGGGTCACTGCTGCTCACAACAACACAGCGCACACAAACCAACTATGTTTGCACACCGAACCAAACTACTAGTGCCTTGTAAGTTAATGTTTAGCCGTCGAACTGTTGACTGGCAATTTGCTGAGCCCCTCAAACAAATCCATCTATTCAGCCTTTCCAATGGTGGCCATTACGTAGGCCATCTTCGACGGTCAGTAGCAGCGAGGTTGCATCCTGAAATTTGTGGTAGACCACCACCATAGTCAACAGTTTGATGGCTAAACATTTTTAAAAGGGGAACTGTCACCAAAATTTTCCTTTGTCTTATCTTGTAGTTCCCTGGCTCCTGATCACGATGGTGCTATCCGTTTTTCTCTGCGATAGCTGGAAGTGGGGGAAAACTTGAAAAGAAGGGGCCCAAAATTGTCCCGAGTGACGTCACGCCGGACTTGACCTCCACGCGTACATTCGTCGTCAAAAACGAAGTTCAGCCCGTGTGCTGGTCGATCGAGCTAGCTGTTCCGATGTACGGTGCACGTGTACCTTTTGAACTCTAACACAGATGGGTACGTCGTACCGAAGGAGAATGCCAAAGAGGCAGAGACCCACGTGCAGCTACACAGCCAAATCAAAATAAAAAGCAGCTGAGCTTTCACCTTTTTGACTTCTTCCGCGAGGATCCAAGTTTTATTTTGTGAGCACGGAAGTACGTCGTTGTTTTTTACTTTTCGTGTAACGAACAACACGATGATGAGTGCGTATGCAGAAAACAGGCGATAACACCACCAACCCGAGCCCCACAGGAGCGCAATGTAGCTACATGAAGGCGATTCATCTGGCGATGTTGCTGAAGATGCAGATGACAAACTCCGACGTCTTTCATTTCAGAGCCGAGTGGGCAACACCGCCACCTTCGATACAACGACATAATTTTCAAGTATGAGGTATGTGTGTCACATTAACAGCAAACAAACATCCTTCCACTCCTTCGTAATCACAAATGAAACAAAGAGCTGGAGCTTCGTGGAGGAAGTACCAGTGCGACAAACTGCTTTCGACTTTTGTTTGTTTTGTCCCTTATTGGCGTTCTCATTGTGTACAACGTACACATCAGTGTCCGAGTTCAGAAGGCAAGCGTGCACCGTACATCGAACAGTTGGCTCGATCGACCAGCACACGGGCTGGACTTTGTTTTCGACAATGGATGTACGCGTGGAGGTCAAGTGCGGCAAGACGTCCCTCGGTACTTTGGGACAATTTTGGGGACCTTCTTTTCAAATTTTCACCCACTTCCAGTAATCGCAGAGAAAAACGAATAACACCATCGTGATCAGGAGCCAAAGAACTACAAGATAAGACAAAGAAAATTGTTGATGACGGTTCCCCTTTAACTTACTGGGCACTAGTGAATTTGTTCGGTGCGCAAACATAGTTAGTTTGTGTGCGCTGTGTTGTTGTGAGCAGCAGTGATCCCTTGTTCTTATACCTTGTTTCAGTGCGTACTTTAGCAGATATCTTGATTTCGCCCAATATCCAAGGAACGGAGGGTTTCTGGATCAAACTGTCGTGGTGAATGGATGAGGTCCACCCAGGGATAAAACGAGCTAAATTTTGAGCGGAATCGGAAATTTGGCCGTGCCCGGTGATATGGTTTCTATGCAAAGACAACAGTACAGAAGAGGAAGAGAAGATCTCTCCACCAAGAACGAGTGTCAAGAAGCGATCGAGCCGAGCAGGAAGATGAATTTTGAACTGAGCAGAGCAGGAGCTAATGGCGTCATGTGTGCTTACATTACTAGCTTGCAAGCAAAAAAAAAATAAAGATAAACCAGTATACTGTACATAGATTTGGGAGAATTTTCAAACAAAGAGGAGCTTGATCGCAATGTTTCCCCAACGTTGGGGGAGATTCCGCCTTCTGTAACTTTCCAGGGACCCTGATTTGTTAAATTTGTGCAGACCGTTACATAACTTGGGCCCACATTTTCCATGTTACAATTTTTTCCTTGGCTCACCATCTGAGTTCTTAATTATTTAAAATGTTGATTCTGTGATAAATTTTCAAGCTTGCCTGAATCATACCATATGGCTCGCTGATATTCAACAGTCTTCTTCCCGCTCGACTCGATCGCTTCTGGACACTCATTCTTGGTAGAGAGCCCTTCTCTTCGAGTAACTTACGTCTTGGCATCCGGAAGACCATTGTTAATGAAGCTGGAGTGCCCCATCAATGATAACTTGCATGGGGTGCTACCAGTAGGACCCAATAAATGCTCTGCAAAAGTGCTTGCGGCTGAGATTTTTCTACTCAACAATACTGACGAAGAATGCAAGACTATGTCCAGTTCGCTGCATGCTGTAAGAGTTGAAATTGTGACGAGTCTGAAGTTTAACGATAGTTTTGTTTTTCACGGCTGAGAAAGAGTGCAAAAAACGTATTTTTCACTCGCAAATATTTTCATGCGTTTGCTCTTGTTCTGCGCAACTCCGTTGAACCTACCATCGTGGTCTTTGTTTTTCCTCATGGCAGTTGAGTGTGATTGCTCTGGTAGACCACTACCCCATGTACTGAACAGTTGCTTTGTGAGTGAAAATGCAAATTTTCCAACTTAGCGGACACATCGTCTTAACGACCCATGCACCACACACCCGTCTTCTGCTCCTCTCGCACAGAGGAGGAAGGAAGAGCACACTGGTAATGTTTCTTCAGTTAACGATGGATAATCCTCGTTACACGGTCACGGCCTCGTTAGAGATTTCACTCAATAAAGTATAAAAAGGCGGATGTTGAGCCAATACTGGCAATAGGAATGTGGAAAGAGAAAAGAGAAAAGGACCTAGCAGTTACTACTTCGAAGCAGTTATGACTAACAGTCCACCAAGGTAACGAGATAATTTTGTGCCTTGTTGTCGCACTCAGATCTGAGCGTATATTATCTGGTTACCTTGGTGGACTGTTAGTCACGCTTCAAGTAACTGCAGTAATTTATAGGTCATTTTCTCTTTATTATTATTTTTATCAAATTTTTGATAGGGCAATCCCCATAGGCCTAAGGCCTTCTTACAGGGTACCCTAGAAATGAAAGTACTGAATTACGGAATAGGTGCAGTGAAGAGCATAAGCGGACTGCAGCGGGGAGTGCATTCCAAATCGCCAGACGTAAGCCTCGGAGACATGGTAAATAGTTTGGCTAAAGATGGGGCGATCTCATCTTTGATGAACTTGTAGGCCTGGGCGGGGATGTTATCAGGTCCTGTGAATTTCATAAAAGTATGTGCAATATTTAGGGGTGAAACAATTATACCGAGTACTCGAGTACTCGCTCGGTTTTTTCAAAAATAATCGTACTCGCAATAAATCAGAGTACTCGTTCATACATGGTACATGCATTTACTACAGAAATCTGCAGTTTCAGGGCAGCAGTCGGCAGATGGTGTTGTGCAGACTGTGTGGTGAACATTTGTTTACGAGTAGAGAGAGCCCAAATGACCCACCAACCAATATACCCGAGAACAATGACTGCTACTCGGTTCAATCAGGTTTGTATCATGTTATTTTAAAGCCATTGGTGTGCAATTTTTAGGAGATGAAAAACACTCGAATACTCGAATATTCGATCGGAGAAAATCAGAGTACTCGAACTCGGGATCTCAGTGCCAACTTTCACCCCTAGCAATATTTTTTATAAATTTTCAAAATGGACATACTTGCTCCGACCGATGCACTGGAAACTATGTCAAAAAGTGAATTTTGACTACTCAGTGTAAGACATGTTATTATAACGAGTCGCAAATTTAACGATTGTCCAAAATTCATAGGTTAACGAGAAGATGTGTTAACGATCTTGCAGTATTCTGCCATATCCACACACAGCATATATGAAGCAGTACGGCTTCAACGGATCTTATTATAACGAAGAAATGTCGTCCGTTAAAACGTTAGATTTGCTTCCTCGTTATATATACATGTCTTACAGTATGCCATGTGTGAAATGATGAATAATTATAGTTATGAAAAAGTCCATGTTCCACTTACGCAGTTACCATGGAGTGTTGCCATGGAGTGTTGCCATGGAGTGTCTCTTGCAATGGGCATAAACATGTATACTGCTTCTCAATAAAATTCAGTTGTCACTCAATAGCACCTTGCATCATGTCGCAGACCAGTGTTCGCAGGTCTAGGGCTGCACAAAGCCCGGCACGTATTTGAGTGACACGACTGGATTTCATTGAGCAGTACTGTACATGATACATGGTATGTGGTGTGTGTGTGTGCATGTGTGTGTGTGTGCGTTTGTGTGTTTGTGTGTTTTGTGTGTGTGTCTGTGTGTGTGTCTGTGTCTGTGTGTGTGTCCGTGCGCATGTGTGTGTGCACATGCAGGTGTGCATGTGTTTGTGCATCTGTGTGCGTCTGTGTGTCTGTGTGTGTACATGTGCGTGTGCGTGTGCATGGGTGTGTGTGTGTGTATGTATGTGTGTGTGTTCGATACCAGTGTGCAGCAATCCGGCAGCTCCCCGTATCGCAACAGCCTGGTTCAGTGCAGTGTCCTGCCCGCAGGAGATGGCTACGTAGCAAGGGTGGGCTTGCAGTACATAAGTGACAAGTGAGTGGCAATTGTGACGACCGGCCGCCTAGTGATGCTCCTCCTGTTGCCGAGGTCCCGGTATGTACAGCCTGCCAGTGTGTTTTCAAGTCTGCTGCTGGCCGCAAGTGCCATCGCCGTGGACCTTGCCCGAAGCGCCCTACAGTGACTGATTGCCATCACTTTGCACACCATTGCCGAGTCTGTAGTCGACGCCAATTCGGAGGCGTCAGGATCTGGAGCGTCATTCAAAGCACTGGCTACCTCTCCCCTAACCGCTCTCTGACAGTACCTCCCTTCGACGAGCGGCATGGCCATTTCTTGCAGCTGTCAATAGTAGTCGACAATAGTAGTAGTGTGTATGTGTGTGTGTATGTGTGTGTGTGCCTGTCTGTATGTATGTACAGAGGCGTCTGTATGTACATGTATGTATGTTTGTGTGTGTGTTTGCATGCTGGATCTACCCATGTTATTCTTCATGCAGATTTCCCACTCGAGTCTTTCCTCATCTTGTTGTAAAGCCGTGACTCCACCAGTCATAACTTTGATCCCTACAGTGCATGTGCCTGCTACCCTACGGTGTATCCCATTTGAAATGTTGTTGCCGCTTTTCTACTTCATCAAAATTACTTCAAAGTATCCATATCATTAGCTGGGTGCTCTTTTTGTCGGGTATTGTCAGGTATTGTCGGGTATTGTCAGGTAGTGTCAGGTATTGTCAGGTAGTGTTAGTGATAGTGTTAGTGTTAGTGATAGTCAGTTGTACGGTGATGATGTTTTCTCTGTTGTGGATCGTGGTAGACCTAAGTTGCACTTGGCTGTTTTAGAGACATTGTACACTTGTAAGTTGTCCGCTGGGCTAGGTGTTCAGAAGGAAAATGTATTGTCCCGGTTTCAATTGCTTGGCGTTAATCCCCATGTAGGTGATATGAATCGTGTTTCTCTTTTTTTTGGTCGAAGTGTTAGTGTTATTTTTCATCTTCTTCTTGCAGTTTTTGATCCACCAGTTGCCCTAAACCTTTCACACGTATAGCATGATGTTTTTATGTCCTGCAATAATTCGCCCATGTACTTGCTGCGTTAGTTATTTCGCTGTATTCCTGTAACAGCCCATGATGAGAAGGGAACGGAAACGTTCGGTTCAAAAACATTTTCTTTTTGCTCTTCTAGACTGTACTGGTGTGGACAACGGATGGAAGCATGATTGTGCTGCTTTCTACATTAAATTTTCTAGTTTGTTTGTTGCTATTATGGTAGCAGTGGTGAGGCTTCCTGCAGCTTCATTCATAGCAAGAGGTTTCTAGAGCAGACCCGCTCTGTCCCATTCACTCCGCAACAATATCCAACTCGTTTATCAACCAGTTGTTGAAACGTTTCGGCAAATTGCCCTAATCAGGTATGCAGTACTATGTATACTGTATGATGGTCAAATCCGCATAGTACCCACTTCATCAATAATAATAATTATCGTATTTTAGAATAACATACTGT